TATATAAGACATCAAATCCTCATTCATTCATTCATTCATTCCTTTTTCTTCCTTTGGGGTTATGCGTGTTTGTTATTGCTATGGGTTTAATTACCCAAATTTGAGTGGGTTTCACTCGCAATAAAGTACAACTCAACGCATGTCTTCACATCGTTCTTCTGCCACGACTAATCACATTAGAATAGGACTCAACTCTTATTTCATAATTAAAGGACCAACATTTCAACAAAGTTGCAATCCCTCTACTGAATACCTCNTAAGAATCTATTAGAATAAAGCTAACAAAAACTTTCACGAAAGCATTAGAGCATCAGACTCATTTTAAGTTGGAAAAACAAACTTCGGAACCGGTGACATTGGTGCAATTCGCAACAGCATACAATTCTTCCGACCTCAAAGATTTCTTCAAATTTCCGCAGTGTTCGTTCATCCCACTCAGACGCAAAATTCCGTTAATAAACTGTTCTTCTGTCATCATTATTGGTTCAATCTGTTCGCCCATTGGAGCTTCAATTATGACAGTCACTTCATTAGCATCTAATGTGCTGATAATCCATTCAAATGCTCGTTTGCTATCACCAAAGTCGATGTAAACTTTCTTAACGATACTTTCACCGGGTGATAATCTGCCCACCTTAACTTGGTTACTAGTTGACATTTCGTCTATGACCTGAAAAATATTCCTTACATTGTGGGATAAAAAAGAAGACGCTAAAAAGAAAAAAGCTCAGGCTGATAAATTAGATTACGAGACCAAAAAATATTTGCGGAAGAATGTAACAAAGAATCAACAAAGTTTGTATAAACCAAATATATAATGATGACTTAAGTCTATTATGTGATATATAGACTTATTTCATAAAAAATTGCGTGTATTAGTCACAAGTCTGGATCACTTGCTAACATCGTGTTAAAATTATCAGGAAATCAAATCTAAAATTTGATCTCAATGATTGAAATCACGCGAGGAGTACTTTTGAAGGACTCTAAGTAAATATTGAACTAACCTTCGGAGATGCTGTGATTTCTGAGGATTTAGTTTCTAAATTGTTTGTAAACCTAAACAAAACAGCACACATCGTCGGTGATATTGGTGATGTCTCACGCGGAAAACATATGTCTATACCAATCCCAGCGGACCAGACTGCATGATTCATGAGTGGCATAAACGATGTTTTCACAAATTTCGGCTCTACGACACAGCTGTTGGCAAGAATTGGTGTCAGCTCAAAATTTAAATCCAGTAAAAGATCAAGATTTCCAGACCTAAAAATATAATATTTCTTATTGGATCTAAGACAGTCGAAGTTGAAATAAAAATCGACACTTACGCTACGTTTAATTATGTACATCATATTTTTTGTAAGTATATTAATAATTATAACAACTTGCATTTTAGGCCCAGCTACTGCAGGTTCTTCGCTCTCATCACTTCTACTTTCCTCCCTGTCTTCCTCGTCATATTCATCTTCATTCTCCTCATCATTTTCATTTTCGTCCTAAAAAAATTTTTCAAATCTACTGTCTCAACTATCACAGCTATCAAATAAATTAGTAAAGTTCACAGTTATATGCAGTTACGGCGGCAATCTTTACTATTTGTCGATGTCTATGAAAGTTATTCAACTGAAGTTTGCAATGAATTGAATCAACAGATCCATTCCCACATTCCCTTGTGTTTAAACTTATTCCCATGTGATATACAACTACATACTTCCTCCTCATCATTTTCTTCTTCTTCACTCTGTTCTTCATCGTCCGAATAAAAATCTTCTTCACTTTCATCGTCTTCAGTTTCATGAATAACTCGCATATCATCACTTATTTCTCCCATTTGACCTGCATTTCGCATAGACGAATCAGGTGGAATTTCCGGAAATTGTGGTAAGTCGCGATATCGTCTACAACGCTGGTTGAGGAAGTGCGACAAACTACCCAGTTGGAATTGTTCGAGATCTAGAATTATATCCAAAGATTAACCAGAAGAACAGAAGAAGCACTACATCTTTTTCTCCACCTCTCGTCCTCTTCTCCTTCCTCTGCCCTAATAAGTCCTTCAAAACTTTCCGTCTTGAAAAATCCTCCAGTTCATTTGAATGGATATTCTTTTTTTTAGTGTCTTATCTTTATCAATGAACCAAAAAAAGATGCTGATATATATAACAACACTCATCTTTACAAATAATTAATACTCTTCATCGAATAACCATAAAAATGTCTAGTGAAAGTTTATATATTATATAAAATACCTTGAGAAAATTTACACATTATAAATAATTTCAATGATTAATTACTTGGATTTTTTGAATTTTTGAAAGCAACAAAACCAAATCGAAAAAACTTCAACAATTTCAATGATTAATCATCCGGATTTTTTGAATTTTTAAAAGCAACAAAGTCAAACCAAAAAAATTTCAACTTTACATTTTAAAATTTAAAGCTTAATCTCACCTTTAAAAGTGCTTTGTGTAGTTGGTGATGGTTTCTCGATAATAAATATTTCATTAGCAAATGCAGATAATTTATTATCGTTGAACAGAAGACTTCGTAAGAATCGACATCTGTCTCGAATATCATAACTTTGGTCAAATCGAGACAACTGCATTACATGCTGCACTAGCAGTTCACATTCTTGACGATTTATAAACCATAGTTTTGCTGCTAAGTTCATTGTTTGTAGCTTTACCATCTCATCCTCGTGAGTGAAACTTTTAGCCATCTTGCGCAAGACGTCTGGTGCTAGAGTTGGAACCTAGAAAATACAATGATGGCACGAAGTTTTCAGAAGCTTGAACTTCAACACGTATCTGGCATATTTTTTGCAGATTTCGAAGGCTATCATACTGGAAGTTTGCCTGGCCGAATGCTCCTGGTAACTCCGATTAATAAGGTACAACAAGTATGATGAGAAAATTCATTTCATTTGCAAATTATCTTAAATTATTCTCCTACATTGCTGACCTGGAAACTATATTTATTACACATATTCTCTAAAAATAATCAAAAGTGTTGCGCTCATTTCCAGAAATATCCTTTTTTGGTACAGTTAAAATTAGAATGCTAAAGAAACCACGACGTCATTCTTCAGATAATTTTTATTAGATACACTTACTTTGTCAACATGTGTAGCAACAAGCCAAATCACACATGCCCGAGCTTGTGGTGCTTTAACAGAATCAATAAGACGAAGTACACGTGTCAGTAATTGCAAAGGCGGATTCGTATGCAATAATCTGCAAAAATGTTGATTTTAACTGTATGAAAATGTAAAGATACTGGTGACGGATGTATTTTAATAAAGACTTTTGAAAAAGAAATTTTAAGATAGCTAAAAGCTCTACTTTATGTTCAGCGGCAATTTCTAGAATTATTCCACGTGACGTTGTAAAAATTTTGAATATAGTAATACTAATTGCGGAGTAGTATACAGAAGGAAAATGTCTTTCTTTGCATACCTGCTTTCATTCGTTAAAACATAGGATAGGATTAGATTGATTTATTATAAGTAAGGCATATGAAATAAACGACCTTTTCAAAACAACAACAGCAGCAGAAACAACATTTTCATTCGATGAAGCAATTAGAGATACTAGTCCAGATAGACATGAATCGGCAACAGAACTAACACGAGTAGCACATTGTCCTATTGCTTCTACCGCAGCATCTGCCATTTCTGCCATGCCAATGTAAGTCTAAAATTTTCGGAAAGTAGAATCTAATGTGTTCAGATATCAAATCTTAATAATTTTAAAGATTAGTGTGCATCAGCACACTGATCTTTAAAACTCTACCAATGAAATATGTCTAGAGATCAAAAAAGTATGCAAACCATTTTATACCTGTAACTCACGAAGAACCAGCTGCACATTTGTTTCTGAGACTAATGAAGTCAACACTTGCAGTTTCAGCAATTTGATATGCTTCGGCTCTGCAGGACGCACGAAAAAACTTTTCAGAAATGATTCGAACATATTCTGCAAGGAAGTAAAACAAAGAGCTAACCTTAATACAAGCAAAATGCGTTCAGAATAGAGAAAAATTTTTAAACAAGATTTGAAACTAATTGTATAGTTGTTACGCTTAAATTTAAGCAATATTAGCAATAAAGCGACTCATGAATCGCTGTAGGATACATGTGATTATTAATTCTAGAACCAGAAATATTTCATATTAAATTTCTATTCCAAAGCGGAATATAAAGTATCAGTGGACCTGCGAGCATTCCATGCGTAAACAAAATAAACAGTTAGTTTTAGCGCTAAACATGTGGTTACCAAAAATTCAAAAAAAGACAAAACTACAGATTTGTAGTAAATTAAATAATAATTAGATAACCGGCATTGTAAGCCACTTTCATGAAGTCAATATAGTTTTGTCTTTTACATATTATGTATAGCATACAGTTTGTTATTACCACCAAAATTTTTGCTAACAGAACGATTTAGTGAAGACAAGTTGAAATTTCCAAAACAAACAGGACGTCTTTTATAAATGATGCAGAATTTTGGAATGGAAATAATTGAACCCCTCCACCTTCCTATGAATTCAAAACTAACTAAAAAAACAAAAAAAAAAGTCAAAATCAGGTTTTTCTTTTATAAGAAGTAGAGGGAAAATTGAAGCAACAATTTAGAAAAACCAAAAAATTGTGCATGTTGCCTGGCATATGTCACCTGCTTCGCATGTACATTTCTATAAATTTTTCTATTAGTCGTATGTCACTTATAGCAAAATTAAATCATTCAAGTACCGGGTTCGTTGCGCAAATCGTTGCAATGTTGACAAGTACAACACTCTGCACTTCACGCGGGCCACGTAAGAGCCGAACAAGTGCGCGTGAGATAATTGATAGTTGAGAGGATGGTGCGCAGTGATAGAATAACTGCGCAACAGCCATAACCACAGCGTAGTTTTGACTTTGCAGTAGCGGACGACAAGATGAAAGGAGAAGCATTAGATCTGGATCAACTACTTCCGTTGGTGCAATAAACTGACTGCGTGCATAACGAGTCATCAACCCAATCATCACCACCTGTCCCCACTCATCCACATCCACTATAGCCTGAATTTTATGCATGAGATAAACTTCACATATACAGAGAATAATGTCGCAGTGTCTCTCTGCAAGATAAATTCATAATATTCACGATGCCACTAACATCTTGAAACATTCTATGCTTAACTATACTTGATTTGTACGCTACCCTAATCCCAACATCAAAAGTTAATTTCTCATAAGTTTGTAACAAAATGACATGAAATCTCACTGGGACAGATTTTCTGCATCATTTCAATCATTAAAGTAGCACCTTACACAAAATACGATAATGTCTGTGAAGTAAATCAAATCGATCCGGACAAGTTTCCTCAAAAGCGTATACTGCACTGCCAAGGACAAGAGTACGCTTATCACCGAGAAGATAATCAATACATTCAATCAGTTCTGTTTGTAAATTTTCTTCAAGTGAAAATAGTTTCGGTATTGCATGTGCGGCTACCTAAAAAGATTGTATATTGGAGGGAAATATACACAAAATTTAAATAAAAAAGACTAACAAGAAAAGAAATGCTCTGAGGAAGAACGATGTGGAAATTTCTAACTTTTCGAACATAGGCAGACATATCACGGACAGATTCACGTATAGCCAGTAACATTACTGGTGCAATCATAGGTACTCGAATGCTTGAGAGAACACGCAAGGCGCTTGCACGAATAAGTTGATTAGGGTCCTGAAATAAAACAAAAAAAGAATAGAATTCCCACGGTTTCGTTGCAGCTCCATGTATTCTGGAGATATTAAAATAACTTCTGAACAAACACCCTTTCAAATATCTGTTTTCAAGGTTTAAACTTACTTTCAAAGCACGCTGAAAAGTGCTGATTGAAAGAAGTGCCAAATCTTGCTGCTCTTCGGCGTATCTCACCAGATAAACGAAAACCAACTTCTTTAACTACAATAACTTGATTTCTCAAACAATATGAGAATATTTCGAAAAATTCAGGAAAATACTTTGCGATCAAATTTAAATTAGCAAACCTCAAGATTTTTTGCAGCAACATTCTTAACAACTGCAGGAAACAGTTCCGATACATCACGTCCTTTCGCTACCAGCTTAACAATAAATATATCATCTAATCAAGTATAATTCCATAATTACAAAATTCAGCCTTCCAGATTAGTTCTGAACTTAAACTTGCTTGTTTGAAGAAAAGATACTTAAAGCCTTAATTGGCTGTAATAGTGAATATACTTTGTACTGAAATAGAAAATAGTAAGTGTATTTCGTAATGAAATAGAAAATCAACAGAAATTTCATGCTGAAATAAAAAGCAGACACCCATAATACATCTCCTTTAAAATTACAAACTTTAATTAAATAAGCTTACATTTATGATTCGCTTCATAGCATCCATTTTCAAGTTATCCTTCGAGCTATCTAACATTGCTTTTAAGTCGGCAAAACGACTGAAATTACAAAACAGCTACTATTTCTCACTATGAATCAATCATTCCTCTTTTTTGAACTGAATTCATAAATTCTAAATTACTGTTCGTTGCAAACATTAAAAACTAACGTTTTGCTGTCTACAATAACACCTCCTTCGGCGATTTCTACTTCGGGGCTTGTCAATCCCTCACCAAAACTTCTCATCCTTTTTTATTGATTATATTTCAGCTTAAATAATGTTATCTTTCGACTGCCGAAAATACCTTCCGTTTTGTGCTATCATACCTAGAAATAAAGCAATTCACGAGCAGTAAGAAAGAAATTAACTCTTTGGATCAAACTTAAATCAACAATTGTATATCAGAGTTATTTACGATTTTATTTATTATGAAATTTATGCGAACCTGCTACTTTACCATTTTTATATCGTCACTGAATTATCACTTGAGAAATCTACTATATACCAAATGTCTTTTGTTCATTTTGACGAAGTTACAATGATAACATAAATGCTGTGGAATAGAAGAAATGTGCAAAGAGGATGTTAGCAGGATTTAGATGATAATTTTGTATTTCCGAAACTATGAAAAAACGGAAAAAGACATATAAAGAATACATAGAAATAATGGAAGAAGATGAACCTACGATGACTAAAATAGCTTATAAATAAATCGATGCTAGGATGACTTCCTGGTCCGGACTGCTAATAGAATAGCATCTTCATAGTTACAGTCAGTGTTGCTCAATATTACGGATTTTTCCCCTGCCTTTTTTGATTCTCCCTGTCCTTCCTCCCTCGCCTCATTACCACCCCGAAAAGCTCTGGAACCATTATTTTCATTAAGATACTATTGGATTGTGAACGGACAGGGGGAGTTGATGTTAACCTTGCGGGATCAGGATTGGAGCCAGAAGGAGTTGTATGGGATCTGATTCTTATCAGAGAAGGGAAACGGTTCTGCTATATTCCCATAAATTGGTTGATAATAAATGAAATGATATGATAGAAAACAAAAAAGACATGGCATGATTGCATTAAGTGGAATATTCTAGGCTTAGACGAATAGGAGAATGCGAATTGATGAATACTCGCACAGTTATTTCTTAATATTCCTCTCTGAGATAAGGAAGGTATTTTTATTATCGTTTAATTGTGATGGATGATGTTTCAGAATACTTTGATCTAAAAGTTGGACGAAATGAAGGCTAATGATAGGTCAGTTGCGAGTATGAGGCCTGCAAAAAGTTTCAACGACAATCAGGTATGGATATAACAGAAGATGATAGTTGCATAATATTGCAAATGAATATTCATTTGCAATATACAAGAGTCTTTTTATGCAGTAAAGTCAAGTATACAAATAGAATTTTTGTATAAAATTGATGTCATTTATATGTATTTCCTAATTCTGATAAGTATGAAAGTACATATCTGATGTGCTATTGATTGTAGCGTTATGACTTTAGGCCCCAATCAACAGTTTGGATTTCAGTGCAGATGGTTTACAAATGATTTCGTCTTCCGATGACGATTCAATTATTATGTATGATTGTGTTAGTGGACAAAAAAGTCGATCGGTAATATCATTTGCGGTAGTAAAATTATACGAGTTGTATGTAGAAAGCCTTTTTCATTTGACCTCTATACCATTGATTTGGAAATAAACTTGCTCAGTGTCAAGTAGAATATGATAATGTGTAAAACTGAGTGAGTAGTAATTATTTTTATGCTGCTGATTTCTTTTAAATTTATTTTCAAGTTAGTTCAGAACATAAGTCTTTAGGTAAACAGTAAAAAATATGGCGTGGATTTGATACAGTTCGCACATAATACATCAAACGCTATACATTGTTCCACGAAAGTTGACGGTCAGTTTTAAATTAACAGCACAGATGTTAATGGTTTTTTTCTTTATAATTGTTACCATCGTTTGAGAAAGATTTGAATGAAAGCAATTAAACATTAGTACTTTTACTAAGCATTCATAAAATATTGTTGATTCATATAGCTATTCTGTAAACATATTCCGCAGCATTTATAATTCCAAAGTCGGATTAAATATCTCTGAGTAAATAAATAAGTAGTCCAAATGAAATATGGATTATACAGTCTTTGAATTTCTTATTACATTTACTTTTTCAGACGTTATCCGATATCTGTCATTGCATGATAACAAATACATTAGATATTTTCCTGGACACCAAAAAAAGTAAGTTGTTTTTTTTACTCATTTCCTTGTATTTTGATTTACTTGGATATTAATTTTATTTCGATTTTATCAGGGTAGTGACATTGTGTATGTCTCCACTAGATGATATGTTTCTCTCCGGTTCTTTGGATAAAACAATCCGTTTATGGGATCTACGAATACAAAGTTGCCAGGTATGTTTTATATTTGTTTTGGCTTCCTTGATATTGCGATTTATGTTTCTCTAATTCTCATTCAACTTCTTTGAAAACTAAACATTTTCGCAGTACTTCAAAGTGAAGTGATGTACTGAATTATTGCATTGCGTAATTGCGTAACTAGGCAAATATGACGATTTCTCATACCTCGTATATATATATATATATATTTTTTGTTTTTAGGGTTTGATGCATGTGCCTTCAAGGCCTGTCGCTGCTTTTGACCCAGAAGGTTTGATATTTGCAGCAGGAATCAATTCTGACACAATCAAATTGTATGACTTGCGGTCATTTGATAAGGTCAGTTTGATTTTTTTATCCGGACTCTTTTTTGAAGAAAGAAAAGCTGTGCAAAATAATTCACTGTATTCAGCATTATATTTGAGCTGTTGTACTTGTATGTGATGTTGGAGTTAGTGCAGACATATTTTATTTCTGCTATATGAGCTGAGCCCTGAACTGATATCATCTCCGTGTTGTTGGGTTTTCTGCTGATGTATTGGTTCTCTTGAAACTCCTAAGATTTATATCTAATGGATTGTGCATCGTTACTATGATTTTCTATTATTGCGATTTTGTATTATTAATCTTCTTCATTAGAGAACGACACTTTTTTTCAAAAGATTTTTGAAAAATAGTGTGTATTTGGGATATTTGACTGCATTTTTTTCAGGGCCCATTTACAACATTTAAAGTGGAAAATGATGCAAAAGAAGACTGGACTGGTTTGAAGTTTTCTCCTGATGGTAAAATGATTATGATTACGACGAATGGCTCTTCTGTTACTCTTATTGATTCTTTTAAAGGAACACTAGTCCACGTTTTAAGAGGTCTGTTCAATTTTCTTCTGACAACTGTTCTGGACAAAAAGCAGTTCAAGTCATTACGCGTGTCGGAGAAAAACTTTGAGATGATCGTGATAACTTTGCCAGATAGGATCTATTTATTTTCCTCCAACATAATGTAAATATAAAGACGTTGCTATGCAGTGTACTTGAGGTGTCTGAACTTCATTTTGCTGTCACTTTCATTTAAGTAATGACATCAGTTTTTTAACCTGTTTAAACTTTCTGTTTAGAGCATAATTTGCAACAGAAACATATATATGAGAAGACTGCATATTTTTCTATAAACTGCGAGGTTGGCCATTTCAGGTCATGAAAATAGTAAAGGTATTGAACTAGATGCAACATTCTGTGCTGACGCACAATATGTATTCAGTGGTTCCACAGATAGCAGTATAGTAGCATGGTCTATAACAACTGGCCAAAGAGTTGCAAAGCTTGCATCAGGACATTCCCCGCTTATCCATAAAATATTATTCAATCCACGCTTCTTCATGCTAGCTACGGCTTGCACAACACTAGTAAGTGTTTGGTGCTGAGAAATCCTGAAAGTTATATAAATACTTCACCAAATTTGTCACTTAAATAAATACTAAATTTATGTTTGTTTAGTTTAATAGTTACTGTTTCGTTAATGGCTGTAATAAGTACACCCATCATTTTTCAGAACTTGTGGTTGCCAACAGAGGAAGAATAAGTGTTTTTTTGCGACGTCATTAGAAGTGTAATATCGATTGTAAGCACTTTATTCAGTCGTATGAAAATGCAGTAACCCGACTACAGCATTGTGTGACAACTTTGGATGGGGATATCTACTTTACCCGCTTTCACACTATCATTTTCAGGTTAAATTTTTTTATGGAACATTTGTAGACAGCAAACGTCGATTTGGTCAACCACAATCCAGGTCTTGTATTCCATATGGATGGGAAGAACAGACGAGTATCGGTTATTACAATTATGTGCTAGCATCTTCGATATTGTGCGGCACAAACTGTGAAGTGAAATTTCATACCGATAAATATATAGTTTTAACGTGAAATACAAAGTTTTGTATGAAATACATACAGAGCTGTGCAATTTCGGGTGACCATATAAATTTTTTTACAAGAACAACTATATTATAAATGCTTTTGTCATTGTTAAAGTGCCAATTTGCCATTGCAGTTGTTTTCGCGCGATCCAATAAATTATGGTTTCCAGATATATTAATTTGTACATAACATAACAATGTATTCAAATTATTAACACAATTCCCTCGTAATCTAAACATTTAATGTCTTGGTCACCAGATTATGACTGGAGAATGTCTTTGTAATAGACTAAAGTACGATAAAACACGACAGTCAGATATTTGTATGCAATAAATGTAGATTATGGATCATTTTGAAAGTATAGAACGTTAATTTTTTTTGTTTGGCGGACTGTTGGTACATCACTTTTATAAACATTTAACTGTTGGAATATACAAACAAAAATGTTTCTACTGATCCTATTATATTTCAATATTATTGCTGTAATTTACTGTCTATAAGCACCCACAGCCAGAACCAAATTGCGGCGCGTGAAATGCAAGTCGACAATTGATGTATTTTTGGTAGCATATGAGTAGAGATGAAAACAGCTGGGATTTATCCTGCAAAAAAAGTGCCGGTAAAAAACGTAGTCTTGAACATGAGCCTAAATGAGACGAAATTGATGCCGCATATATCGCTAGTCCAATATTGCTGGTATAGTCATTAGTACACATTGATGTTATTGATTGCCAATGATTTTTTTTTGAGTTCAATATGCTTTATAAAGCAGATTAATTTCGGTTTCGAATTATAACTTTTGCAAATTGCGAGGAATTATGACAAATTAACCTACTTTGGATCATTATTTAAATGATCCTGTGAACTGGAATGAGCCGTAACCGTATCCACAGAATAAAATGACAATGCTAAGTCGGCTCGTGCAATGGCTAAGGCAGCTCCATCACGTGAAAACTCTACTGGTGCCTGGCATGGAAGTGCAGGAACGTCCTGCATGCAAACCATCTTTTGCAATGCCATATCCCAGATAACGAGTGATCCTTCACTTCCTAATGATGCAAGATACCGACCGCAGGGCGAGATCTGCAACAGGAGAATATTGAGTTATCAGCATGAGTATTCGATATTTGTAATAGTGATGTGACTGCAAACAATAAATTGCTATATGTGAGCTTATTGAAAAAACCTTACTCGCCGGAACATATCAATTAAGATACCACCAACATCATGAGATTACGGTAGAGTGAATTCGAGTAAAATAAGTTTGAAGTTAAAGCGACTGCAATTAAGATTTACCGAATACCTAAGATATTCTAAGTTAGAAACTACATCTGAAAATTATAAGCTCTAAGGTACAACTAAAACCAACAGTCTAAATTTGCGAATGACTCCATGAAACGGTGTGATGAATGGTATTTGATTCCGTAAGGCTGCCGTATTCGATATGAAATTATTTCACATCTAAGGGACTTCCAATTTCTAAAATTCAAAAGTCCTAATAAGAAACAGTTAGTATACAGTTTCTCCTTGAACCTACCTTTAATCCTCTTATAGATCCTTTATGACCCGCGAAGCACCGTACACATGTCCCAGATAATACATCCCAAATACGTACGTAACGATCATCACTACCACCTGCGAAATAATTGCAATTTGGATGGAAATCGATACAGGTGACATCTGACAATGCATCTGAGAAAATGCGCAACGGTTGCAAACGATCGGTTGTCCACAGCATCGCAGCGCCATCGGCACTACCAGTCGCGAAATAATAAGAACGTGGGCAAAATTGCACCTGAACTTTATCTGATTTTCGTTCACAGTTTATGGACTCATATTAATTTGCAAAAATTGTAACTTCATAGTAAAAAATGAAGGAACAGATCGACCTCCCAAACTGGCGCAGCATGCTTATATACCACAACATTACTACGAACGGCGAGACTCCACAAACGAACTGTTCCATCACGTGATGATGAGAGTAATAGGCGTTTATCGGGAGAAAATGATAACGAATAAACTGGTCCGCTGTGACCCTGAAAAAAAGTGATTTTAAGGGAGAAAGAAAAAAATCTGTGCATCTGCTACATAAAAACCAAACGTATGTTTTGAAAACAGAAACAAAAGAGCCAAAGCGATTTCGAAACCGGTGTAAAAAAGCAATGTAATATATGGATTTGCTTCAAAATATCTTTATTTTAATGTGATTGAAGATCTGATATAAAAGCAGCAAGTCATGAATCCCATAAATTAAGAAAAAATATTGTTCATTGAATTTAAAAACAAAGTTACCTGAAAGGTAAGCGATGTCGACGCTTCTGTATCATCGTAAACCTGATCCAGTGCATCTTCAGATTCTTGCTCTATTAGTTCCAACTGATCGATTTTTTTGTATGGCCGAAATTTCTCCTCATTTAGTGCATGAACCTTAAATACAAATGTAAGACTTTCTGATTAAATATTGAAAGGTTGTGCATTTTAAGACTTGTGCATTTTCTGTATATTGTTTCTGTGAAAAAAAAGAAAGGGTTGCATATTTCGAAAAATTCGTAAAAGAATATTAGAGAAAATAAATACGGTTACTCTACACCCTGCTAATGTTCTGAAGTTTATTCTCTTACTTTTTAATATGATCAATTCATCTTTTTTCATGTGCAAAAACTAGCATTAGAACATGAAGAGATTTATTACACATAGTCTAGAAGCAATATACATAAAGTCATAAAGACAGGCGAAAATGCATTTTTCATAGATCAAGTAGTTCTTTATTAAATAGAAACTATGTTTAAATTTATCGAAGATTAAAACATAAACTTGAGCGTACCTGTATCCTAGAATTTCCAAAACCCAACGCCAAAGCTCCACTGTCTTCAGCAATATCAGATGCTGTAAGACCACCAGGAGAGTTGAGCACAGTGTAAAGACACACGGATGGTGGTGTGTCAACAGAAATGCGCATTTTTTTACCCGATTCTTTAATATACTTCTTTTCAGTGCTATAATTGATTTGAATGGATTTCCGAAATTTGTGTAATGAGCAGAAAAGCTTTTGACAAGAAATTTTTTAATAAAAAATACATTTTGAAAGAGACTAACGCTGCTGGTAAAGGTATTCGATCAGGCGTAGGTCCATTTGCATCCTTTTTTTTGCTATCACTTCTTTCTTTAATTTTTTGCCGTTTTTTTTCAAGGCCTAGTTGCGTTGAAAAATCTTCTTTAATTGTTCCATAAAACATTTTATGGCGTCTTTCTGAAAACCAATAAATTATTTAAAATAATTAAAAAATGATGAGAATAGATTTTTGTAAAAAAGATAACTAACAAAGGATTTGATAAAACAATCAGTGAGAAGGTCATTCGTTGAAATAAAACTTTTAGAAATGATTTCATTTTGATAAGATAACTGTTCCCAAATACCAAAATTTTTCACAGACAGATGGGAATTCTTACAGTAATTTGAAAAGTGAATCAATCACACTACCTTGCTTGCTAACTTGACCAAGAATACCTCCTAGGCCTGCTTCTGTAGCTGACTTTGTCCGCGAACCATCAATTGCTAAATATAATTTCAAATCCCGAATACTCTTTAAAATTCATTTCTCTCCACTAAACATAAATTTTGTACTATCTACAAAGATTTTTTGTGTAAATGAACCATGATCAGGACGCTCCATTTCAAGTATGCCAAAAGAAAATGTAAAGTATGAGTGAAAAGCTGAAATCCGTGGATCCTCGAGTATTAAAAAACCACCTTCAATGTGCAAGTGGTCTCGCATCACATCCCGAACAATGCTATTCCGGGTTAAGAAAGGTTCCAGTTGCTTGATCGCTGATTTTGATATGCGAACAACAAACTGGTTCTTCCTTTAAAATGCATCATTTAATTTTATCAGTTTTTCAAGCATAACTTTTAAAATAGGCGGATTAAATTAGAAAACCACTGTCTCCTGGAAATTCACCAATATAAATAATATACTTACGAAACTTTCAAAAATCCTGAACAAGATTTTGATTTTAAAAAAAACTTCGGAAATTGCGAATATGATGCAACTATTTAATCACATTGAAAAAAATAATTACGTTAGAGCCTGAACCAGTGTATGATTAGCGGCCTGACTATGAGTAGAAATGCGGGTAAGCAATTTTGCCTGTTCTTCGTACATCGAGGGTATACGTCGACAAAATTTTTCGCTAAATAAAACCGCTGAAATAATAAAATTGCCGCGGATCTTTAGCTTGGAGAAATTAGCCAAAAATGATTTAAGAAAACTGAAAAAGACGTAACTATAAAATAATAATAAACTAAAGCAAACCTTGCAAACTGCGTCCTTCAGCAATAAGCTGTAAATATAAATGAGCAAATACCGGAAATATTAAAGCGGACAATTCTGCCCGGAAATTATCAAAGGAAGAATCAATATGTCCTAGAAGCGTCGAGAATTCGCGCATGATAGCATCACTAAAAATTTCAATTAACTTCAGTAGTATTCATGATGCAGTACAACATCATACTATTGTTTGTTGACAAGCAACACAATGAGCTTGTTTGATGTTTTAAAGAAATACAGCTACATATAATAATCCAGTGATTTGATAATAATTCAAAAACATTTGTAAGATTTCATAGAAGAGTAGGGATAATTTCATCATATATCACCATGGTTATTAAAAAGCTGATTACTAGAAAAAATTTGAAAAAAAAAGTACTTGCTAATGTCACCATCTGCACCATCTTTTGAAATATGCAAAACGGTTGCAGCTTCTCTTGATAAAGCTTCTTCAGATTCCTTAAATAATTCACTATAATCATTAAAATCCTTAACAATTCACTCTATTCTTACAGAGGAAAAAGATTTACCGTCAAACCATTTTTCTTTAAAAAAGCTAAAATTTGCTGCAATGATTCAGCTGTCAGTGGCTGTTCGAATATGTCTCCATCCATATCTGCAATTTAAGCTCCAGAAATTTTTAAAATCTAATAGGAATATTGATATTTGAGCCACATAACCAATCAGCAGGTTTTGTTAAACTTCTAGGGCCAAAACTGCTCCTATAAATCTGCTATTAGTTCATGCTTGCCAACAGTCCTAGCAAACATGAATAGTAGATTTCTAAACTCGACTTAAAATAGTTCTCGTTCTCTGCGATTCGCATCAGTAGTAGCTACTCACTAATTTGGAGTGTATCTGTCTTCTCATACATTTCAAATTTGCAACTAACCAGTACTCAAACACGTATTACTTATTCCGTTCGCATACAACTGAAAAATAAAAAGATTGTTTCACTATACCCCCTAATTCCAAGGAAAAAGAATTTTAATATAAAATCCATCAAATATTTACTGAAAATTAAGTGACATTGCTAAATTAACTTCCAAAAAATTTCTTTACAATCATTTATTTGACGATGATTTATTTATACATAAATACATATTTAAAAAGTCGAAAATGAGGTGTGCTAAAGCAACAAACGATATAATAGCAAATAACATTGAAATCCTAAAGCTAAACAACCAGAACAAAGCAATATGAGACTAGTCAACAGCGTTACTATCTTTAACTTAGATACGCCTTTTCCCAAGCAGATGTTGTAGTTTTTGAATTTAAAACCTTGAATATTTCCTTTAAATTAAAATGAATTTACGTCTACAAAATTCCAATGGATTTTATTTCTTCATGTTTTTTAATATTAAACAATTAGCGGTTTAAAATATCATCTTTTCTGAACTTGAGAAAAATAAAGAAATACATGCATACTAAATTTCTTAATACAAATCTTCAAAAATATATGAGAACGACGAGGACGATGTAAATTCCGCAAATAATCTCCAGTAGATACAAAAAAAAAAACATGCATTCACAAAAAGAAATTTCAAATGCGTCCTCGTCATTAATACATAATCTAAAACTACTTTTGAGAATTCATGTGATAGTGAGATTTCAATCGATGAACACATCAAATGCAGTAATGGCATGCTACATATTCTTATATTTCTAGGAGACAAATGTATGGACCTCGCATGGTCATCAAGGCTTATAACATCATACATGTGAAAACGAAACTTCAAAGTAAAGCGCTGTATGATGAAATTTTGCCGAATTTTGGAAATTGGAATTTTGAATCCTTTTAGCAATCAGATAAAATTAATGAACACATGTTTACGTGACGTTGAAAAAAAATTGTTGCAATGTAAACAGCTTTGAATGCATTAGCAGATTCAGTACGATGAAATTTTTGTTTTGTGCAAAGCAATTATGTGAAAAACAAACAATAATGATACACAGGACTAGAATCACCGAATGCGTATTTAAAGTTAGCAGATCATTTTACGCAATTAAAATAAAAAAATAAATGCAATATTCCCAAACTTTCAGTAAACAAAACTATGAAAAGATTTTCTATGTTACTGTTTTTTAAGAAACATAAAAATTGGTAATTTTAAATTATCAATTCTTTTTTAAAACCATAAATTTTAATGATAAACACTAATGTTATCAGGCAAAATCTGATATAGCACAAATTAAGAACACGTGACATAAGATATGTTGCGTAACAATTTGTTACAGACCCAAGATGTACTTCATTTTGAGAATAATCCTTAGTGGAAAGCAAAGAATAGCAGAAAACAGTGAGCAGAGTTCATAAACGGACCATGGTGCGCATGCGCCATTGGCGTAGAGTACAAATGTTAAGCCATCACCGAATGTATCATTAATGCGATAATAGTTCCTGTAATGAAGTCCCAGCTATTACTTTTTCGTTATTAGAAGCAAAATGACCACATCTTAATCGGCAAGTGAACGGCTCTGAAATGATCGGCACTTAGCCAGTGGAAGGATTAAATGAGATGGTTTGACGGCAAACCTCATGAGCCTTTCTGATCAAACTAATCGAGATAGAATTTGACTCCAGTTAAGAAAGTCCTTGCATTAGAGGGCAATGAAGTAGACTGCATTACCTATAATAACTGAAAGAACTAAAATAATTGAGTAGGTCGCATTTCAGTGTCAGTGAAATTGTTTTAAAATTGACTATACGAATAAGATGGATTAATATGCCGTTAGATTACTATTCGTCTCTCTAACTAGCTTTAAATCATATCCAATATTAATATCCAATATTATATCCAATATTACGTAATTATTTGGGTATCCGAATTATTATAAGGCATTCAGAATCGAGAAAACGAAACTTACAAAAGCGTAGTGTGGTGGCAAAAACCACGTTTTTTGTAGAAATTTATGGCGCCGTAATTTGTAGCTAATACATGCAAATAGACAGCTTTGGGGTACGGTGGCCGTTGCACTACCATGAACATAAGATGATCGAGCAAACGTGAAGCGAAACCACGTCGACGATAAGGAGGACGTACGGCAACGCTTAATATGTATACCACAGGTAAACAATTACCCGATAAAAGATCGCGATCCTAAAAGTGAAACTTAAAGAAACTGAACCTATTTATTTATCCATTTCCACAATATCAGATATACTAATGCTACGTCTTCGACAAATGCCTTTTAAAATCTGCAAAATTACTCCATTTAATTTATTTCGTGATTAGATAACATGGAGGACTTATACGTCCTTCTCCTTCTATTCTTTTGCTTCACCTAAGTTTTCTAGAATATTTTCTACAGTACTGGTAATGAGTTTGATGTATACATTTCATTAGATTTGTAAAAGAACAAGAAATGACAAACCTCAGCATTGCACTGCGATAAGATCTTGAGTTCAGCGACAAGAAGAGCAACAAGTGCACCTTCATAAATGATTCCGAAACTAATCAATTTACCATTCAATACTTCCTCAAACCAGCAGTCCGGATATTGTATAGGAAAAGATTCGAGGCAAATTGTCTTGACAATATCCATATCGTGCATGCATAACGATCGTATGCTACACTTTTCATCCTGCGGCATATCACTGCTTGCAGGTCCATCAACGAGACACTTCACAGCTTCCCTATCATCTAGCGTTTCTCGCCAATCTTTCATCGCCTTCGATGCCCACCAAATCGTTGTGTATCGTTTATTTTATCCATAACAGCGCACTCCATCATTATCTTCATGAAAGCGCTACAATTAGCTGTCTGGAAAATACTACTTGGCCGTTATTTTAAAATTACTTCTATACATTCATCGTAAATGAAGCGTAAAACAAGCTGAACAAACATTACCAAATGTTGGATAGCAATATGAACCACTCCGTAATACTGAGGCGATCGGAATAACGCTCGAACATTCAACGAATAAAAACAAGCAGGCAGCCATACAAACATGTAAATACCTGCAAGAAAATATGCACGTCTCATTGAAACCAAACTTTCCAAAAGTACTACACTTGGAAGTAACGTTTTTTTTCTGTCAGAAGCTTCATACTACATAGTGCTATACTATTAAACGACTTCAGGCCCATACCCTTAAATTCCAGACCCTTCCATGAAGTTGAAGTCAGCTAACTACAAAACAATCCTCAACTGCGCACCTTCGAAATGAGTACTATGAAGTGCGTAAATTTAATACGGCCATTGAACGGATGAATTGGCAACAACTGTGAGGTGTTCATTAGTCTTTGGGAGAGATGTATGATTTGGCTGTCGTGAAGAATTTATTGAATTGTTTTAAGCAAAATAGTTCTGGTTTAGTTAGGTTGATTTTACTTTTAGATCAATGAAGAGAGTACCACGTTCAATTTATGCCGACATATACATCAAAGAAGCTCATCGTATTAGAGGTACGCCACGTGTTGCTCGACCATGGAGGCCTAAAGTTATCGCTTGGGCTGGTCCAGCTGCATTTTATCCTAATAGGTTTGTATTTTAGAGTGAATTATTTTATATAAATTTTTTTTTTGGTTTGTCAGATAGATAATTGATAGAAATCCCCTCCATGAAATGAAATTATTGTTTCTTTCTATCACGAAATGGATCCTTACAACGTCCGGATGGGACTGAGATCTCTGACAGCAGTATGACAGTTTTCTTTCGATGAAAGAGTATATGATGGTTTCATTTTTCTCTGTTGAACATCGTATCTGTTTCGGATTCTATCCGAAATTAAGACGCTGAATTTATTGTTTAACACGTAAATCTATGACCACTATTATTTCGATGAATATTTCTCCAAATTTTTCTTTCAGATTTTATGAGCCGAATGCTTGGTATAAAGCACGAATAACAAAACCATTACTTTACCCGAAAATGTACATCATTGATCCAGACAATCATTTATTGTCGTTGAAGGAACGTTTAGCAGGTTATTACTTCTTCATTCCAAGTTTCGGAATGCAGCTATGGAGCTTTTCTTAGACTTCATTGAATAAACTGGAGTGAAAACTATATTTAAAGTCAGATTTTTAACAACTCTTATTGTTACAGTACCAGAGATACAAAGATACGATATCGGTTTCAAGAAAAAGAATTTGCTACCTGTACCATCCCCACCATCGGAGTCGAAAAATGTTCTGAAGTGGTCTAGAAAAGTCCAGTGTGAGTTTGACTTTTTTGCTTTCAGTACCATAAAATATTCGATTTTTGCATTTTTCTGTCTCCTCTACAACTTCAACAAATATTTCATATTTTCATTGTTTGTTTTTGCTTAATTTGGATATCATTTCACGATAAATAATAAGATTTGAGTAACTCATGTTATGCTACATTGCTGCAAAAATTTCTTGTATTAAGAATGGTGGAGTCTATAATACTATTGCAGTGACAATAGATTTAAAGGCAGTGGAGCATTGGCAGTTAAGTATTTTTCATCACTTTCGCATATTTGATGATCTTTTTCACGCAAATGTTTTCTTCTACAATACGCAAAATATGCAGTTTAAGTGGGGCAATATTGGTCTATATCAGGGAAATTTGATCGATGCCGCTGATACAAGTACATATATATTTTTTTCGAAATAGAACAAAAATTCGAAAATATTGCTTTGGACAAGTTAATCGAAATGATTATTCTTCGAAATGTTTAGAACAAATTTTCGAAGCTTAATTGGGATCATTATAGATTTTTGTAATTGATTGTCTATTTTCGTTCCGAAAATTGGTTTTATTGTCATTGTTTAGGTAGTAAGCCAGATATATCGATTGAATCACTAGGTGGTGGATTCAACTCATTCATATTATTGAATCTTGATGGAAATCCTTATCACTGTCATGGCGAAATTATCCATTGGCTAGTATCTAATATTCCCGATGGCAAATCTGTAACTGATGGAACAGAAATAGTTCCATACATGCAAATAGTGCCGTTTAAAGGAACTGGTTATCACAGGATTGCTTGTTTGTTGTTGCGGCATAATGAAGTTGTTAATTTAACGTCAAGGAAACCAAAAAGGTAGATGTTGATTTTTTCACCGACAATATCTTTTTTTGTTAATAAAGGAAAGCAAGGTTCTTATTGTCATCTAACTGTAACTACGGTGAGATGATATAGAAAAGTTAATGCAATTTAGTAGTTGCAGCAAGGTCTGTAACAGCAAGTAGGATAGAATGTATTAGAATAATGATATGGTCGACATAATTATAAGTTTATTGTACTGTTTTTTTTTTTTGGATATTACTGCATAATTGATTTTCTGTTTTGATTTTCAGTTCAACACTAATGGACCGAATCTTCAGTGTTGGCCAGTTGTATAAAGAATTCGAAAAACAGTGGACTCCTTCTGCTCTTTCATTTGCACAAGTTTCATGGGATGTTTCTGTTAATGAAGCTCTTCACAGAATTGGTTTGTTACAGACATGAACTAATTTGTTTGATTGAATTTGATTTGGTTTGGGAGAGTCCTTTTTGTGACTTAGTCGAATCAAGTTGTGAAGTTTTTTTTTGAAGAGATTTGTTTTGATTGACGTTATAAGATCAGTTATGTTTCCTTTGATATGGGAGTTGATCGTTCCGTTAGATCCCCTTCCGTTGAGTTTTGTTTGGATTAGCCGCTTTAGTTTGACTCTGGTTGCTCGTTCAAAAAAATGATTCAGTGTAGTAAGAAACCAAGTTGCAGATCTAGTTTATTGGTTCAACTAATACTAGGATGAGATTGACATAGACTGGTCGACTGTTTTGATGATGATAATGATAGTAACTTAACTCAGATGTGAGCTTATATATTTATTTTGGACATCAAAGATCACAATGAACAACAGTTCTAATATTTGACAACGATTGACTCTCTCCCGGTATTTAGGGAATGCTGCACTACCAAAAAGATGCTAGATTTTATTAGTATCTTACAGTGTTCTATATTCTAAGATGAGTGTATTTGATCAGTATCTTTCAGGGATGAAATCACCAATTTATGAATATCAATATAATCCGCCAGTGAAAATGAATCAGAAAGAATTTCCATTAAAACCACAACCGTTTAATTTGTATGTTCTACAAAGATTGACTTTTTTTTGAGTTTTCATTTGACGACATGTATTAATATTTTGAATTTTTGTTTTTGAATTGCAGGTATTTGGATCAATTCCGAGAACCAAAGGAGGTGCATGCGGATTTGTTGAAAAAGCGTTTGCAAATGCGAAAGGTAGACAAAAACCCGGAACAACATAAATATCCTGATATTGACTACGCTGAACACAAGAAGAACATGCCGTTTTGGCAGCATGATAATTTGATGAAAGAAAATTCTGGATCCGGTCGATACAAAGCTTTATGGAGCAATCCAATCAGCTGAATATCAGAAATCTGCAATATTTAGTTTGTGATCACTTGAGTTTGAAGCAACATAATTTGCTTTTTTCAATATCAAGTCCTCTCTCCTCTCTATAGGGCAATATTTTTAAAACCCTTTCGAATGTTGGAGTAATTGAAACGGAGAGAAGTGGAGAGATTGATTACAGAATATCAACGGTAGGTGGGAAAGAAAATAACAGTAGTTAAATTATGGTTTGCAAGAAGAACGCTTTGTATACAGCTTTTATTTGCACTTCGGAATCCATATCATTTAAGAAAGTTAATTGTTAACTGCTAAGACAATTTATATCCCTATGTATTGTTTTTATCGGTTTACTTTTGTATCGTTTATTAAGAGCAATTGTTGGAAATGGATCTTCAGAAGTATTTTGTGCCAATATTGGTTTTGAAGAATGTTTATTTTGTTTATACTGTTATTGTTTGCTGGTTTAATTACTGTTAATAATGCTGATTTTTATTGTGATCACTGGCAATGGGTTATCACTGCATTGATAAAAATAAGAAAATAACGGATTCGAAAGCTGAATGTCTTATATTGAATATTGTTGGAAATATTTCCGAATTAATGGCTGTGTTATTATTCGCCATACATTTCGAAAATATATTTTAAAGAATATGTTGAATTATTCCGGAGGAGATGTGAGAGGGTAATCCAAATTGAGATCACTTGAGTTTGAAACAAACATAATTTGCGTTTTTCAACATCCAAAACTCGTCTCTCTGGGGCAATATTTATAAAGGGGGAATTAAAATCAATCATTAATTCAAAATGAAGTAATGAAACGATGAAGGAATAAACTTATTGTTTTGGATAAGATATGTTGAAATTGATCTGAAGCAAAAATCCCATGGGAAGGAAGTTGTTAGTGTTGTGAATGAACAAATAGTAAGTGATATTTCATCTTTGGCCACTTCTCCATGATAGAATGGAGAGGAATACTGTGTGTTGAAACCCTAGTTTTTTTTTTCTTTTGCATTTTTTTTTGGAATCATTTGCACCAATTTATTTCTAACAAAAGCCAAATGAGATGGATAATACATCATTTGGAGCTAACGGAAAAGAATAAGAGAATGGATAGGAAAAGAAAGCTTCTCGCAAAAAAAAACAGTTTCGGTCTGAGGAAGGAAAGACAGGACGTGACATTTGCCTCTGGTGGAGAAGAGAAGCTGATCGAGGGGTCCTATTTAATATCAGTTCAGCTGATTTGCACCTTTGTACAGAATTGTCGGCTAACACACTCATATTTCCTGTTAATTTAAATCTTCAAGTTTGGAAGGGAGGATCCACTGGCAGACTGAGGCTAAAATCCTCCTATAATTAATGAAATATAACTTGACATTTTAAATACATATGGATGTATAGACATACACATACACATACACACATACATAATACATACACAGACACATCGTCGGAGAGGAATAAAAATATTTCAGTTGTAAATGAATTTGTGTGTGATGAGAAGAGAGCATTGCTTGTTCGCATTATTTCATCGTTTGGTTGTACAAATAAAAGTGCCATTGAAAATTCTATACATCCTTAAATTCATGTCTGTCCATTTTATTGAATGTTTTTGTCTGTCCGTACATTTCTCAATTTTATGTACGTATTTTATCAGAATATGTGTGTCTGTTCGTTTGTTAGTGAATTTCATTTCTGTTGTAAATAATTTCGTCTGTTTGTCTCGGCATTTTTTTTGAGCAAAAGTTTCAAAAGAAAACTATACTCTTTATTCAGTTTGTGGACTAGCCAAATTGTTCCAAGTGCAAAAAGAAAATAGGCATCGGCTGAAAGGAATTTTACACGAGCCCAGCTATCTATCATCATTTTCTCAGCCGGACACAATCCTCAATATTGTCGATGTTTGCAGTATGACGCTTAACGTTTACATTGCTTCCATTACCGCCAATACTGAGGTAAGTGTGTTTTTTTTCGCTTATAACTAGAAAGTCTTCCCGAATCATATCATATCCCGAAGTTATATCTCAGAGAGATACTAGCGTGAATTATTTTAATTCTGTTCGATAATGCTAATGAGTGACCTCAACGATGACTAGAATTTAAAGATAGCCGTCCAAAGGTATTATTTGATGTGATATTTTACAATTCATTTTTTTGTCAACTTATTTTTTCTATTTCGACATAGTCTAAGGTATTGTTGTCAGAGGTAGCAAAAGTTAAAATTGAATAAAATTGAAGATAACTTTAGATTTTTAAATAAATGTTATAATTTGATGCAGCAAAACTACGAACAGAGTTCTCCATAGTTTATGCTACTCATACAGACAGAGTATTTATATTTTTTCAAATTTTCAATAGCTAAGACTTTAAGGTAATAGTTTAATTCTTGCGTTTCTATCCACTCAATCCTAGTAATGACAAATAAGATTCTGTATTGTTTATGAGATTTGGTCGTCGTAAGTCTTCACAGATTAATTTGACGAATTTTCTATTTAGTAGCATTGCCTTGAAGTGGGCATCATTTGTCAAGCATAATGTTGTACCTATCATTGTTATATGTTTAATTGTAGAGTGTTTTGAAAGGGAAAAAATCGGAATAAATTTGAGAAGGCATAATATTAAAAGCTTGTTAATAAAAAAATCGTTTTTTATAAGAATCTGAAGAGCCTAAACTTACAGTAAAAAAACTAATGCTTTGAATCTTAACGCAGTGAGTGAATTCTTGAAATATTTGTGTTAAAGTTTGAGCAATTGTCGTTTCGATGCTTAATTATAAGAAATGCCTTCATTTATCCCTTCGTTTCTCTAAAATTTCTATTGATCATGTCAATTTTTTTATTAAATTTGTTTGTACGATTTGTTTATGTCACCTCTAAATCGTACGATGAACTTCGGATAGATTTTTCAAGTTTTGACATAATGTCACATATTAAACGATGTGATATATACTATTTAAATCTTATATTAGTTTTATTAATTAATTGAAATGTTTGCATAAAAGTTCAGGAGGCATTGCTTGAATCCAAATGTGTATGTTCGAAAGTGTCATAGCTTTTGTTCTTCTTTTTCCTTTTGTCCTTCTCTTCCGCAAATTATCATCGCTTCCATCAATCTATAATTTGATATCATTTAAATTTGTTGAATGAAAAACAACACTTGTCAAATAACAAAAGAATCATTCCTTTTCTTTCATCGAATTTCATTTATCCACAAATATTTCGATTCTTTTTCTCTTTTTCCATTTACTTTCATTTCGTTATCGTAGTGAAATTTTTGCAAAATATTATAAATTCTGTAAATGGAATATGGATTGTTTGATTAAAGTATGATTTTCAGTCAAGATTGGATAGATTTCCTTCCAGTCAAAAGCAAGAATATATTGCTAAATTAGTAAAGATTTCATTGTGTGAGCAATCATCGCGGCCGACAGATTGAATTTAATGCTGAAGATGGTTTTTATCATATGTTTCTCTAAAGTTAAATGTATGAAAAAGAATTTTGATCTCATGTAATTTATTAAACATCTTAATTCTGCCTTTGCTGGCTTTTGAATAATGAAACAAAATTTAAATGATCATCTTATCCAATGTTTTGATGACGAAAATCTTTGCCATCAGTTCTTTTACCAAAACGATAAATTGGGATATTTCGATTTGCTCTTTGCTGTTACGTTGTATTTAAATTCGAACATTCCTCACGAAAATGGTAAAGAGCTCAATACGGAAATCAGATTGAAATTCATTAAAATTTTGTCCTGTTAACTTTAATTATTTCTCAGTGTTTCATTCAAATTACATTACGCTTTATTGAAAAGGATTTAAAAATTTAATATTTCGTTTTTACTAGGAAGATATCGAATTCATAATGTGTTTCGCGGTGAACTTCACTGTATTATACTTCAAAGACGGTAAAGTATAAAATTATCAGCTGAAGGAATGACTCCAGAAATTTTTCGGATTTAGGAATAAGAAAATTCAAAATATATATAGATTGATCATGGCTAAAAGCGATTAAAATGTGACATAAACAGTAATTTTTATTACTAGTTGGAACTTTAGTTTTCATTTGGGAAATTTTCTTCAAAAACTTGGGATTTTCTATTCAATTAAACTACGTATAATATGGTTATCTAAAAATGAAAAATGATTTATGATGATTCTTACTGAATATGATCATATTCTATTAGTTTCCACGCGTTAATGAGGATTTCTAATTCAAAATAATTTCCATTAATTCAATTCAGATGAAGCATCATATATGTTGTCACCAATGATAAGATCTTTTCAATTAAAATTTTTACTTCCCCTTCTTCTTCTGCACTTTTGTTGTTCAGTAATCTTCGTAGTATTATTGATCCGTTCTATCTTTCATTCGTATAGCAGAGAAAACAAAGTTCTTTTCAACCTTTGAATGAGAGAGAAAAACTGAGAACATCTTTTCAGTTACAACTTGACAGAGTTTTCAAATATTCTCAAAAAAATATTAAAGAAAGAGCAATAACATTATGTGATCATCCAAATTATTCGCAATTTTCGTTTCTTTAAAAAATTTCAGTGTGTAGAAAAATATCTTTATTATCATAATACATGACATTTTTATTCAGAAGAGTTTATCAAATACTTCTACTATCTTTTTAAAGATCATTATTGTTGTCCTAAATTTCAAGAAAATATAACAAAAACATAATATCATTGTAAACATTATGTATCATTATATTTGCAGAAATGCTGTCATTATTACAAAGAGGAAAGAATTTTCTTCTTTTATGTAAAATGCAGGAATAGAAACTATGCAAATATAAAAATTATAAGGCACAAGCAGACGTTAAATGAAAGAAGGAATTAAAGAGGATGAAATTCCCATTCTATGAGACAAATTATTAAAGAATAATTGATAGCTAAATTAGATGATTCTTAGTAAGACTTTGAAGATGAGATTAGATTAAAGAATTTAAAAGACAAAAAAGAAAAAAATTTAAAAATAAAAAAAAATTAAAGATAAGAGAAATTTAGAAGATAAGAAAAGGTGAGAATGGATTAAAGAATTACTTCTACTTTTTAAATTTACAATAATGAAATAAATGAGTCATATTGAAAAGTAGATTAGTTTATTCCATGTTATAGACTATTTTGGATTTAAACGTACACTGTGCTTCCATCTTTTTTCGCCTCAGATCATCAGATCGGGTTTTAATGTTTTAAATGAAAAAAATTGATTTCCTACAACTTAAATAACGAAATTAATTATTAAACGAGATTAAAGTGAAAGCTGAATTGTTGAGGCTATTCCGCTTAATTCTATATTGTAACAAAATTTCAGGTCCGTAAACAGGTGCAGAAAGTGTTAATGGTACTTGATGGATTGGGTGTTCCATTTAAAGCAATTGACATAACATTACGGGGTAACGAGCAGTATCGAGACTTTATGCGGCAAAATGCCCTGAATGAACGATGCGATGGAATTCCATTACCACCTCAGTTTTTCGTTGATGATGAATATTTGGGAGTAAGTCTTTCTCAGCTCAAAAAATTTAGATAATGGAGCTCATCGTTTCAATTAAAAGAAAAAAAGAAAAAATTATTTGTCGTGAAAATTTGGGCAAAGATCTTAACAATTGATACAATATAACTTCATTACAAAGTGTAATTGTCTATCGCAGAAACAGTGGACATATGAATTATTTACATTTTGCTGATTTAACTATTAAAATTTACAGAATTATATGGATTTTGAGGAAGCAGTCGAAGACAATCAGTTACCAGAATTTCTTCGCTTGATACCTTCATCAACAGTGAGTTTTGCTTTTAAACATCCAAAACTTTGCTTTGTTAGTTTTCGAAATTTTCATATAAAAATTGCTAATGATATAGGGCATTACTGTTATCAATCTTTCTCTTTTCTTCCATTATCATCATTTTATTTATTAAAGTAAAATGAGAGACAACAGTGGAGAATTTTAAAAAAAGAGATTCTAAAAAAATTATTATATATTTTCAAAATTTATTGTCCCCAACACGCTACATCAATTAGCTATTTTTATCACTCACGGAAAACAGTAGGATGAAGCTAGGAAAAATATAAAGAAGGGACAAAAATACTTTAAATCAATCATATCTTCTTCATTTTATATGCGCCCTCTAATTTACATAATGGTGAGATTACACAGTAAAATAAGTATGCGTACATGAACGTTTATAGAATTATCGGTATATGTCGAATAGTGGAAGCATTAAAAGTTGCGAAATATTTTTTTAGCAAAAAAAGTGAATCATTTGTAAAGGTAAGTAATGAACATCTTTTGTCTGTGTGATCGTTGTCCGCACTTCACGCAGCAATATTTGTTTTTCATGACTATTCTGCAGCACACACAAATATAAGAAAACTTGAAGTAAATCAGAATCAAGCATGAAATTCTGTGAAAACGATCCCTCTTACTTCCTAAAATCCAAAGCATGCCTGCCAGAACTTTCGCTTATATTAAATTACTTCTGTGCCAAATGCTTCATCGCTTCATGGCAGCACTGCTAAAAGTTCGAAATTTTGAGTGATACTCTGAAATTTGGACTTTTTTCCTCTTATAAATAATTGTTGCAAGTGTTCACTGCATTCATTTGGATCAGTGAAATTGGACTAGGTTAACAAAGGTCATTAATTGTGATTAATAGGAGACTGAAGAGTGATATATTGGATTGATAGATAGGATTAGTGGACTGCACATATTAAGCGGAGAAGGAAATCATCAATTGAAGCTTATGATTGAACAGATTGTTAACATTCTCAACCAAATGAAAAAATATTTTATACTTCCAGTAAGTTGAATTAGGTGCAATTTCTCAATGTATATTGTGATATGAGTTATGAAAACTTTGGTTCACTTCACTTAAATAAAAATATTTCAGCTACTTAAATAAGAACATGCTACCACTTTCCTGCTGCACAATATTTTATTATTGAGAGAAAAAAATCTATTTGTGCTTGTGATCCTATCGATATTGCTTTAGTTTTTCCAACTCATATTATTTGTAAAAAAGTAGAAATTTTAATTTCAGGAGGATGAGGACGATGATGAAGGGGAAGATGAAGAAAATGAAGAAGAGGGGACAAGTGAAGATGAGATATTCGAGAAATACGACGATAACTATGATGAGGAGGAGGAGGATGAACAGGAAGGAGATGAGGAGGGACTGGCTGATGAAGAGACTGAAGATGACAGTGGGGATGTATCAAGTGGTTTAGGTAGTTCAAATAATAAAGCTGTTTCTAGAGAAGTTTCAGAAAATGGTAAAGTAATAGGTAGTGATATTGAAGAAGAAAAAGAGAAAGATAAGATAAGAAGTGAAGAAAGCACGGAAGAAAATGAGGATGAACAAGAGGATGAACAAGAAGTAGAATTGGAAGATGAAGATGAAGTAGAGTTGGAGGATGAAGATTTTGAGGATGAAGATGAAATTGAATGACATTGATCATTTGATGAACTTAGGTAAAAAATTCCTCTCCTTAAAATCCTCTTGTTGACTCTTTTGATTGTTCTCCGACCTGCAATTCCATGATCCTGAAATTAATTCACCGAAGTAGTAAGGTGACAATAAATAATCCATACAATGTTAGTGGATTTTGAGCTTCATAAGCCTTCTAATGAGATAACAGGTTGGGACTTTTTTGGTCACTCGGTCCTAATCAAAAATAAACATGTTAGATGGCCTTACGTCAAACGAACAGCAGTCCGAAAGTTCGTTTAACCAAAGATTAAATGTCTCCTCGAAATGACCAATTTATCTGACTCAGTCTTTCAGCTTATCTCTTCGTTTTTCAACAATAATTCCACACTAGTTCATATTGAAGCGGCCAATTCTCTCCTCTTTCTCTCCCCTTTTTCTCCTCAACACTTCTATTTTAAACAGTATTTGCAAACATTTTGACTTGTATTCTCATTCCCGAGAGGTTTTCTTTTTGAACCAGTAGTTTTATCCAAAGAATATTTTTAAAAAGTGTAGGATGATCATAAACCATTTTGGGAACTAATACCCCAGCACTCATCTCCTTGTCATTTTGTTGTAATATTTATGTAATTCATTCATTGTTTTATTTACTTTGAACAAAAGATTTATTATGTTTTAAATAAATGGCAATGACTACAGCAATGTAAGTGAATGAATTATCAAATGCACGCTATGCCGTTCCTTTTCTTCAGTGACTTGTATGACTTGCGTGAAATCTACTAATGAGGCGCAATTAAAAACAAAAATAACTAAGAAGTGATATTCACAGTGTTTCGGCATTCCTGATCATTGAGAAACTTCGAATGACGTAGCAAAGTAAAAGTTCAGATAACTTCTGCATTTGGATCGATATAGAGAGCAAGTCATCTGACAACACTCTGACCAACTCAGTTGATTATATAGATTGATTTAATCAGTGCCAAAATATTTAGTTGTAAACCAGAATGGTATCAACGGGTTGATGTCGCTCGTCAATATGGATATCTTTGGAAACTGACTTATAACTTGTTTTATCCCTGCAAATCCAAACTTTGCCTCATTCTGTACACAACATTCAATGAGGAAATAATGCAGATTTAAATTAATTAGGAACTTCCCCAATGAAGTTAATGTCGGGAGTTTAATAAATTTGTGATAATTTCAAAACTTGAAACTTACCGGCAGGTGCTGCGAATAAAGTTAAGAGTAAAATGTTTTCCTCAATTACACCATTTTCCACTAATACTGATACTGCCTTAATCACTGTGGCACCTGTACCTGTAAATACAACGATTGAAGAATGCAGACGAAAATAACTGAATGCCTTCAAATTTAGGAACAAGTAAATTACTCATCCGCGTAAAAGTGGATTTTATTGAATTTTAGCTTTAAAAGGGTAATTTCGAAAGGAAACTATTTCTTCAATTAGTTATAATTCATGCAGTGATCAAGTAACTGAATCAGATAGTTTTTACGAAAATTAGAAAGCGCGAAAAGCATTTCGCTGTAGTTTTATATGAACAAGGAAGTGTTTTTTTATATTTGAAAAAATTATACTCATAAATTATTATACTCATGAGACTTACTAAGTAATGGATACAAAAGTAGTACTCTTCGATGTTTGATGTCTGGCATCAATCGAGCATATAACAATCTTGTGTCATCACCTACTAACATTTTACCAATCCGAACTGATCTGGAACAAAATTGGCATGGAATTAATGTAACAACGAGAAAAATATTAATAGAAGTCATCGTTGCACTTAGTGTGCTTTCAGCCCTCATGTTACGTTTTTTCGTTCCGTCTTCAGAGATGTCAGGAAAAATACATGGAAATGTACAAAATAGTATTATAATGTATAAAATCCAATCACTTTCTTATGCTGACATATCCGAAAATTTGATTCATTTTATGAAATTTCACAATCGTATCGTGGCACGTTACTCTTCTACATAAACACGGCCGTTCATAAGTGTTCCAAATTTGGTCATTGTCTTACATCACACATTGTGGACAAACTTCTGGTGTTTCAATTGCATAATTTTCGATAGGTTAATAAAATCACTTCCTAGGTTTGAAGCTCTGTCATTTCTTAATCACCAATACATCTACAATGACAAAAAAATTTAATTTAATGCGATGATTCTATGATTTTTTTCCCATTGTTTGATTAATTTCACACAAATCCGATCGAGTTAAAATTTTTCAGCGAGTAAGAATGAAACCTAAACAAGTTTATGGATCAAGCAAATCAGTAAAAACTCACTCACGACTAAAATTTATAAAGTAACCTGCAACATTGCCGCAAAGCTTTCTCCATCGCCTCACCACCTCGACATATCGAAACGCCGCAGTTTCCTCGACAGAAGGCAATACCCTTATATTTTACATGTGCTGGAGTTTCTATTTCAATGTTTGTATAAGGCAGTCGGTTGAGACCCTCTTCAACTACCAGTCTAATCAAACGATCAACATAGAATACGAAATCCGAATGACTTGTTTCTCTGAAAATTTCTGCATAAGTCCATTTCATGCAAAAATTATGCACTCAGATTACAAGAATCACAACGTGAGAGCAAAATTCATACAATAGAAAGAAAATTAAATTTGTAACTTAATTTATAACTTAAAAATTTATAACTTAGATCTAGCTCTTAAGTAAGCTACTTTTTCTTCAATAGCTTGAAGAATAAAATGAAATTAATGACCACTTATCGATTCAGTGGCATTAACCTGTCCATTATGATGGTTTCCAATTCGATGATTTGATCAGTACGCTCCAATACGTAAACATTTTCCATAAAAACGCTATCCTTTTTTTGTTTTTCATCGATATCACCACCCGCTGCATCTTTAAGCATTTTGGCATGAATAAAACTTTCCCCCATATTGAATGAATCGTTATAAATCTGAAATTTTTAGCAGATTTGTTTGACTAAAAATGTTCCAACCTCAGAAACCGAACAACACCTCATATCACCCAACACCTACACCGTTTTCCGCATCAGTTGCTTGCACATAAACTTCATCCTTCGTATGGATGAATTTCATGACATAAATTTCATCCATTTTAAAAGTGTAAACTTCGGTTCTTTGTTGGCCGTGAGTGGTGTTGCAATGAGTGTCTGTAGTGAGGTAATTGATGCGAAGAGATTTTAGGAGGTCAAGTTGTGACCTTGGGTTTATAGAGTCGTTTTGTAATTCCATTCATATCCCACATTAAACTTATGACACTTCTCAAACCTCCCTAATGAAATTCATTCACCAGTAAATTTTGGTATTAGATCTCGAATAATGCCCTTCTACCATGAAAGTATTATTCAGCGAACAACACGCACGTTGGTAATAAAATCGTTCTTCAATTGTCATCTCGATCATTCAGAACAGATATCTTGATGGATGTTACTGAGTTAGATGGTTGTATCACTTTAGATTTATGCATGAAAACAATGGAAAGGACTTTTCCAAGTTGACAAATCGGAATGCGATGAAAGATTTGTGCTTACTTTTACGAATATCGATATCGGATACATTAGCACATGGAAAATATACACACCTCATTTTTTTATCTCAAAGAATTACAATTTTAAATCAAACATGAAGACTGCCTTCTCATATTTTTTGTCTTATATTATTACTTGAGCTTACAGTACCCCTGATAATATTCCAAATTCCATCACCGTGTCAACCAGGAATTTATTCAAATTAATGCCAGACCCCTTTCAGTGTTCATTTGCTTATTTTGAAGATTGAAAAATGAAAAAAATTTTCATATAGTTTGATCAAAAAATTTAGTCATTTAAGAGACTTAAATAAAACTGGTTTTAGCCGTCGTTACTCTATGACTCATCCGCGAGATTCTGTGTTAGCGTGCACTTTAAATTGATAATTTAGCGGAGTAGAGGGCATAATAATTCGATTATGTTCAATTTCTCATGTTACTTTTCCAAAAGTTTCTAAAATAGCTTGTTTCATCAAAATGAAATCTATGAGAAAAAGCATAACAAACAGTGTGGGAAGATTCTGAGTGATAATTTTTCCCATGAAAGGAAGATTTCTGAAAGAATGAATAGAGATCGGATATTACAATTTAATACTAACGTTTCATAATCAGAAAGTACCGATGAAGATATGAGGGTCAACTGAATCAATTTTATTGTTCTCTCATTTTATCTCTCATTTTGACAGAAATAATTTCATGTCCGACTGCTTCTTCATCACTATTTAAATTAGACAACTATTATCACTTGATCTTAGATGCCGGGAAAATTTGCATATGTAATATCCTTCAGATATAATACCTGCGACGAATTTAATTCTAAAATAAAATCATTTTTCTTCATTTACTCTTTTCAAGAATATTCAACATTCAATAAATATGCATCAAACAAACGAAAACTTCATTGAGCTTTAATTTAAACCTTAAACTTCTACTTCAAACATGTAATTTTCTCTATAGAATAGCAAGCGAATAACTTTCACCGAAACAATAGAATAATTAGATGTAATTTCATCTAATTATTCCATTGTTTTTAATTATTCCAGAAAGTTTTCATAATGATAAAGCTGTGGAATATTGATATCATGAAATTTGAATCATTGAAACTTAAATAAACGGTACAATTTAGAACATCTTGGCAAAATGTTTTTTTTTTTGTTTACAAAGGTTAAGGAGTAAAATTTATAAAGAAATGCAGTTGAGGTATGCAAATCAAACCGATACGCCATTGGACATGACTAATTCAATTTTAATAACATTTTTTGAAATATTCAAATTGAATTGTTTTCCTATGCTATCCGCTAAATTCGGGATGTTTATCAGCATAACACAAACCTGTTCACTGTGTGAAGAACTCAACTGAATCAATTCTCTGGATCATTTCTTTGCAGAACTGCAAGCAAACATTCATAATTTGCATATTGGGAATAGTCTCTCATCCCGAATATGGCGTAATTTGCATATTACTTTAGTAGTCTATAAATAAGATGATTGCATCCATTTCCCTCCTCATTTACTGATCAGAAATCTTCAATCTTCAGTTATTGCAGTTTATGTCTGTGTCAGTGATAGGCTGAATTAATCAATCGGTAAAGTTTTTTAAGGTTTTTAACATTTTGACCTTCAACTTTCCCTCGACAAATGACAATGTTCTACCAGGCTATTACCGCTTTTTCATTAACAGAAAAGATTCTCTCCTGTTTTCGTTCATCCTTACTTTTTCTATTGTTATTACCATAGCAATCAAATTACTCCTACCTGTTCGTTACTTATTCATATTCGAGTAGTCTATTATTTTTTGATTTAAGTTGTAAGAGAGTGTTTGGATGAAAAGGTCCTCAATACATTAATGATACTATCTGTCGCAAGAGTTGCAAGAGGTGAAAGGTTGGGGTTGGTTACATTGGAGAAACTAATCATTCTAAATTGTGATATGCCTGAAGAAAAATTAAGTAAGTTGAAAATATTAAATCTCACTATTCTATTAGGAAAACCTCTTGCCTTGGACATGACTAATTGAATTTCCGATAAAGAGAAGTGAGAATGTTGCATAGAAAAGAGAGAAGAAAAAAAGAAGAAATTAATAATTGAAACTATTATTAAATTCTGAAATTACATGCGATGATAGTATCAGCAAATTCAAATTAGTATTTTGATATCGATTATTAGCCGTTATGTATAGTATAAGAATCCTCAAAAGGTTTTAATTATTTTTTTTACTGTAAGCAAGGATGAAAAGGAAAGAAAAAATGACCTAAAAAGATCAACTTATCAAATCCATTGCGTATTTTGCTATCATTATTATAATTATTTTGTAATGTCTAATGAGAATTAAATAAAACTTATTGAAATGTAAGAAACTCAGTAAGTGATTAGGCGATGATCTAATTGAAATGATCTAATGGATTATTCATGAAGTTTATTTTCAATCATAAATTTAAAAGAATATTCATTTGAGAATAGATAGCTAACTTCTTTTCCTTTCTGTTTTAAAGATATATCGTGCGCTTGTCTATATATTAATTAAATTAATATATTAAGCAAAATTTTTTCAGCTTCCTTTTGAAAAGCCAACTACACTTGCCTATCAAAAGATTTTTGCTTATATGAAACCACGCTCAGAAGTAAATGGCTAAACAATTTGATTTCAGATTAGGTGAATTTCGTTGATTGATTTTTCAAATAAATCTCTAAGCTTATGGACTGCCTATAATCTGATAGAGAATAATTTTGATTTGAATTAGCAATTGTAGTTTAAATTTGAAGATGCTGTGATATTGTCTTATTTAATTTTGACTAGCAACTTAAGTGGCTACATGCGAAACTGATAAATCGGAATCGCAGCCAGGACCTAGTGGTATACGCAAACGTATCGCAGTTTCATTCGATGAATACGTACAATCATTGAATATGCGACAGTTGATGATGATTGAAAATGAGCAAATCAATTATTTGACAGTAGAAGAGCGAAAAGTCCTTTATACTGCGTGTCAAGTAAGGTTTTTAAAAGCATAGAAAAATTTTTCAAGAGTATACATAATTTCTCAATTTAAAATTTTTCAACTTTCAGGTGGTGCCAACGGTAGATCCATCATACGTCTACGATTTAATCACAAACAAATCTATGAATAACGTGGAAATCATTATTGAGCGTTAGTTCGAATTTTCTTAGTGTTGCTTAATTATAGACTTAATAATATTTCAGTATTTGATCTGTCACATCTGAAATTGAGAAATTATATACGCTCACTAAGAAATATCAAAAGATGAAATCTATATTATAAAAATTTCAGACATATTTACTAAACTAGTAGCATATGAAATTGAGTCTCTAAGGACAATCCCGGTGAAATGTGATCATATTTAGATCTTTTCGGATATGGCTATCCCACAGTTAAACAACGTGTACGTCGTGAATGCATGGAATTGCGTCGCAAAGCTTATCTTTGTGAAGATGGACAAGCATTTGATTTTGTTCAATTTCTTACAATATATCCAAATCCAGAAATATTTTTTGGTGAAAAGCGGAAAACGGATGAAATTTATATGAGGCATGCTATGGTTTGTTAAAATTTTTTTCTCGATAGAGAATAAAGTGTCATTTAATAGAAGACATAAGAAATCACTGAGAACAAGGCCTCATTTAAAAAAAATTAACCTTTCCGAACATCCAAATAAATATTATCACATATAATACATTACTGTAATTAGTTTCGCCTATCTTAGTATCAAGTTTAATTCATTTACTTTAACTTTTTAGGCTTTTTTGTCGCGAAAATTTGAACAATATGATGTGACATTCATAACAAAACTTTTTATCAATAGCAATAAGCAACTATTGCCTGCTTATAGAATTTTGAAGAAACACGCAGAGGCATTCGCAAAAAGTTTGATTTTACTTTCATTGTATTGAATTCCATTGTTGTTCGAAATTCAATTCACATTTTTGCAAGCATTTGTTTCTTGCTTTTTCCACTCATACTTTCCGCATCGTAGATGATTAAACATCATTAACCTTTGATCCCCTTTTATTCCATTGCAACGGAAGTCTTTTCAACTATCTGATCCTGTGTAATACTAATTCTTTAACTTGAAATACACTGTGAACTTACATTAAGCCTCGAATTAGTTACTTAAGAAAGTTTATTTTCATAAAATTCTTCCCTCGAAGTTTGGCTGCCAGAGTTGACCTCCAATTTGCACAAAACACAGAAATGTCATTTTCATAAATATTTGATTTTCTGTTAAATTTATCATTGTCCAAAACATTGCTTTTCAAATAAACAATCTGTGCAACCATAATGAATGCTTTCTACTTGTCAAGCGTACGTTATTTCCTAACGGTGTTACACGTAGATTATATTATTTTTCTGGTTATAGAAAGGTTGTAAAAAGTAATCAGTTAAGGTTGTAAAAAGTAATGAGTTAACGCAAGGCCCTCCCTAATATTGTTTTCAGAGAATACATTGCGGAATTATTATCCCTTCTAACATTCTTGTATATTAGCACACTTAATATTCCATCTAAAGGCAATTTTGCACTTTTCAGAATTAGAAATTCTTATTGTTGAAAATTTTAAATTTCAAATCTGTTACAATCATATTTCAGCTAAAAACGCTCCTCATTTCGTGACGAGCGCTCATGTTAAAGTGAAATTCAGACGACTATCTGATAGCGGAAAAATACCGGATTATCCGGATTCATTAGATGAATTATTTTTTCGGGAAGCACAATTCTGCTTGTATGAAGACGAAATACTAAGTTATTGCTTGATGTTTTTCTTTAAAAAGTTTGAATTTTAAACAATATTTGGCTATTTTTAGCTTTCTGTAGTTTCCATGCTCTGAAACATAAATTGCTTGCTTTGTATGCATTGTAATTTACTTGATTTACGGAATTCCCAAATAGAGAAAAGTACTAAATTAGCTTGATCTTCGGATGATTCAAATATCCAAGTTTTCGCCTTGGCTTATTTTTTTTTATTTGAAGCTTAACTGAATTCTGTGCTACTGAAGTTAATTGTCCTGGCCAAATCCACGTGTCAAAATTATCTTTGATATTAGTTCTGCATTTTTATGCATATTTCCGTGACGCACATTGCAGACTATAAAGTAAACTGCGCCGCAAAACGGAAAGAAGCATTAGAGCATGCGGAACGAAATGGCTTACTAAAAGAATGCATCATTTGTTGTGAGGATTGTTATTTGGAAGAAGATATGATGAAATGTAATCGAGATCATGAATTTTGCAAGAATTGTGTGAAACAACATATGGAAGCTCAGATTGGCGATGGTTCGTTACAATTTTTGATTATGAATAGAAAAGCGCCCAGAGGGAAAGACAGAAAGTGATCATTTAAATCCATCATATTTTCATTTTTATTTCTCAAAATCAGTGCTTTTAAAATTTGAATTCACATAAAGGCCATCAGATAAACTCTATTAATAATAGTTTAATAGTTTGATAAAACAGGACTATAATCTATTATGATAACATTCTAACAGAAAAAAAATTTTAAAAATAAAATTCAGGTATGAGCAGGATTTCTTGCATGGATTCATCATGTACAGATGGTCATTTCGAAATCTCATCAATTCAGAATATCATCTCACCATCTTTATTTCGTTTATTTATTCTACGTTGTTTAAGAGTAATGTTTCACGTTTGCTAGGAACATTGAGTTTTGATAATCGTTTAGAGGTTGCTATGCGTTGACTTAACTTTTCTTGATTAATTTCTAACTATTTCTAATCATTTGATTGCCATTTTGAAGTTCCATTCCGCAGTTTGAATGGCAATAATTTTTGCTCTTTGAATTTGATTACAGCGCTATTTATCATTTTTTGTCTTGTCATTTGGAATTCTTTGCAAGTTTTCAATCTGATGCAATAAATGAGTTGAAATAAATGAGGGTTTTTTTAACAATCATCCAATTTTAAAAAATAGGAAACGATGAAAATGTTGTGAAAGCATTTATTTTGAAAATTATAAATTTGTCGAATATCTTTTAGGATGAAATTCTTAGCTCAAACGTTGAAAACATCGAATTCTGTCCATTTTGTGACTTTCCGGCAAGTTTTGGTAATAGCGAAGATCGGACACTTGTCTGCTTGAATGCTGTTTGCCAGAAAGAATCGTGCAGGTCAATCTCATAACACTACTCTATAATTAAACCTCACTTTTTTTTCCTTTACAAAAATTTTCAGGAAATGTCAAAAAGAATCACACATTCCGTTGCGATGTGAAGAAGTTCAAGAAGATGTTGATTTTGAGACTAAAAAACGTAAATTTATTGAAGAGCGCATGTCAGAAGCAGTAATTCGGAAATGTCCAACCTGTGATAAGAAGTAAATTCTAAATGCAATCTTATATTCTTTGCAGTGAGTGCAATTTAATATATTTCGAGGAATATGAGCCCCGAAAGATTGTTAATTAAAATTATGAACCAATTTCGAATAAAATGCCACCAAATATCATCTCCTATCACTAAACTTCTCAGATTTATCATTGGTAATTACTTTTTCTAATTTAATTTCTTGCAGAATTACGAAAGAAACAGGATGCAATAAAATGACATGTCCTTGTGGTACTTTCTTTTGTTATGTTTGCAATGTGGTACTTCCGAAAGACCATCCTTACCAACATTTCTCCAAGTACATTTCAGTCTTTTTAAAATTAATTATCAATTTACAGTTTCATGTTTTTTCAAATTAATAAGAGAAGGAACAAGCAGTATTATATCAAATACTTTAATTTTAGCGCTAGAGGTCGTTGTCGTCAAGATACACCGCTTGAGCAACTTCATGAAATGGCCGCAAAACGTGCTGGTTTAGAAGCTTTACGTCTGTTCAACGAACATAATCCTGAATCAGCTAGTGTGAAAGCACCAAATATCAATGAATTAGCCGGATTAAAGAAGAAAACAAAACTGGCAACAACAAGAGAATGACAGCAAATTTTCGTTCCACAACCGAAAAATATAAAATATGTTTATGGCCATTAAGATTATTATCAAACAGAAAAACTTACATGTTATCGTTTATCGTAGACAACGACTTAGCTCTTTTGAAAAAATAAAAGCAATGGATTTCTTTTTTTGCAGACTAGTAAGAAAAAGTAAAATGATAGATATTATTAAATAAAAATGATTATAGTAACCATCTAATTTAACCATAATATCAATGATAATTAACGTAATGTATTGTTTTGAAGTCGGAGTTGAAATAATTTTTGTTTTCAACTGTTCAGTTTCATATCAATATATCGAAAATAGAATTTTTCTATTCTTTGCTGATTTTCTAAATTTTTTGTTGAACTTTGAAGAACTAATTAACAGTTTGCACTTTAAAATAATTATAATTTGAAAATTTTTCTAGTTATTATCACCAGAATTCTATGATTAAAATTTGTAGAGAAAAAAAACGCACGAACAAATCTTAACGTGGTATTATTGTCAGGTCTTCTGGATTAATTTAATCCAAACAGATTTTTGAATTCTTTAATTTAATGTTGACTTAATACTAATGAATGATTACTTACTTAATTTTTGCTATTTCTGTTTTTTTCTTTTGCGTTAGTTATTTTATTTCTATCATTTCCATTATCTTAAATTTATATTTTGTAGATTATTTATTGAAAATTAAAAGAAGTTACAATATATTGTCGCTTATATTGTCTTTCTTTTGTTACTCGATCAGGCAAATCTTATAGCTAAGTTTTTTTCAGCTTCAAACTTCATTTTTTCTTACTTCAAAAACTTTGAAGTTTTCCATTAAGCTAAAATGAAAAATTTCTATACCTGCAAGAATGTTTAAAGTCTTTCTATCGTGACAAATAGAATAATGCATGTAGAAATTGATAACATTGATATAAATATTTTAATTTTTCGAAAGTTAATATTTAAACTTAAAATTTTTAATTTGAAGAATAAGAGGTTATAGAATACTTATATTTGTCTATTTGTCAGAAAATATTTACGTTATTTCTCTATTAAAATCAAATAAATAGAATTTTAGCATTTGATAATGACTACTTGATTGTTGATAGTAAACTTTAAACATTGATAAATGAATGGAATTTAGAAATGCTTCTTTGTTATCACTCTCATTCATTCCCCTTAGCCGATACTATTTTATAATGCTTCATTACAGACAGTGAATCATTAGGAAATTCTTTCAAATTAACAATCATTTGATTACACAATTTTAAAAAAGAAATACAATCATTTGACTGTAGTTAATTAATTTCGGGTTTCCCGACATTTATTAATAACTATTAAAAATCTAAGCTCAAAGGCATATTTGACAAGCCGTATTTTGGTGGGAACTTTGAACACAGTCATATTAATTACATTACAAAAAAATTTTTTCGATAATAGAAGTGTTAAAAATTGAGAACTTTTTACTTACTCAAACGTTTACTTGTAGGTATAGTCGAAAACAATGTGATTTGTTCTAGTTTGCTGATAACCTTTCTCTTATCATTGTTACAACTACAACTTATCATTATTTCGCAACAATATAAGCCAGAATTTGCTCGCTTTGCATTTGAGCATGCAGCTGCAGCATATTCGAAAAATCCATTAAAATGTTTGACAAAATATTACGGTACCTCTATTCTGCGACACGGTAATGTGTCGTGCGATCATTTCCACGATGAGGTATCCATCTCATGATTCAGTTTTGACCATATCATCATGGAGTTGAAAGTTGGTATCTCGGAAATCTGACCAAAACTTCTCCATACAAGCTTTGTTTAGGTCAACCGCGGAATGAGGATCAGACCTGCAGGTCCAATTTGTTTTTCATTTCGAAAAAAAATAGGAATTCTACTTCCCAATTTTTCGTAACAAACTTTGTTAGAGATTCTGTTTTTGCAGCAATGGTTACTATCCCTACTACAATATCAATGACCACTTATTCTATTTCGGCGAACGTGTCAGTGATTACGGTATATCCGGATGCAGGACAATCAAAAATATTGCCAGAAAAAATTCACAATGAGGAAAAAAAACCCATTAGACCATATCTTGAAAACACTGCCCATAATGAGGTTTCAGGATGTTCCTGGAAACACTGGAAACAAATAAATCATAATCTCATGCTGGCAACTACTTACTTTGATTTTTATCCTTTTTGCGTACACAGAAACTAGTAAACCGCAAAAGCTAATTGAAAGTTTGAGCAATGTAGCAATACTAATAACTGTACATCATCAAAATTCGTAATGTAAAACTACCAAAAGTTTATTCAAACAAGATCCATCCATAGAGTTTTTTAGCTTTGACTTTTTTTGATTTATTCATTAAACAATAAATGCTTCGAATTCAAAACAAAATCAGTAAATGGTATCTTCCATTGTAACAAAACCACATAACGAAATAAAACAACAAAATTAAATGGCAGTATGCCTGGTAGAGTGATATAATGGTACTAATTCGCGCATCACTGGTGAAATTAATGCATCATGTGGTTTGTTTGTATCTTGAATTAAATAGTACGTTGATACCAACGCTAGGAGGAATGAAAATAACAGCAAAGATGTCGATGCTAACGATAAATAGAAAGCAGAACCAATTTCTTGCTAAAAATTAAAATCATTCCAAAATTTTTTGTTTTGCGAAATTGGAATTCGAAGTGATAAAAATTTCGTGATTTTATCGATAAATGAAAAAATAAACTATAATGTGCAAAGTATAGTAAAGTAGATACAAAAACATCGGCTAGTCTGACTTTTGAATTAAAATAACAGGACTAAGTGATTCTTTTCAATAATTTAACCCTAAATTAAAGCAGTGTAGTAGCAACTGACCTCGTAAGTGCCCACAAGTCCATGTACAAATCGACTATCAACTCGATGTGCAGCAAAGAAAAATATCGTATTTGCAACAATCGAAAAAAATACTGCAATGATGGGTAAATGTTTTATGATTCAACAGAATAATCCAAATATTCAATTCTGACTGTTCTTTAATTGTGACATAATTCTGAATATGTACTATGTTCTATATAAGTCTTCCATGTAATGACAGGTTTAGAATGAGAACGTTCATAGAAATCCCCGACTCCACCAATAGATTAGAGAACTAGTAAAAAAAACGAACATGCGATAAAGATGAGAACAGTGAAGAAAACGGCAATAGGATTACTACACGGAGCACAAATGCCACACAAAAGCGCCAGTCCACTGATTGCAAAGACCACAACGAAACATATTAACACAGCCTTTTGCCAACCTATAACACTATAAGTATAAAGTTACTCGATAATACTGAAGTATTCAATATTTCGTTCTAGATTACGTGATAAATGATAGTACCAAAGAACTGATGATGTTCGGCTTCACCAGCAGCACTGTTCTGATTTATATCCAGCAAATTCTCATCAATAATCTCTCGAGCATTCTGATCAAATTTATACGTGCAGAGGAGAGAAGTATGTTGCATTTCCTGATGCTCTTCATTACTTATTCCATGTGAATGATAACGTGGACGAGTACAGTCTTGCCATAAACCGTGCTGCAAATATATCCGTAACGAAAGAAACACATTTGTATTAATGATTAATAAAGAAATAAAAAATGGGGAAAAAAATAAGCGAAGCTAAATAAAGCAATAAAGGCTTTACATGGTGTTGTGCACGGAATTCGCGTATATCAACGACTTGCCATGAAGGCGAAAGAACGGCAATGATGGAAGTACCCAAAGCAATAAGAAGTAGAATTAAAGAGCCAATCAGTACTGCCTTCTGTGCCCGATGTCCAGCATTACCCATATTTCTAAAATCGAAGAGATATACAAACGTTGCGCAAGATAGGTATCGACAATGCAATAGAACTTAATTTAAGTGAAATAGCTTATTGACGAAAAATATTAGCCAATATGAGAAAACTCAGAAGAGTCTTCAGCGAATACTTTTTCTTTCAAACTAAATTTGACTTGACCTAATAATAGTTTCCTTGATGAAGCAAATAATGAACCAGATTCTACACGGTGAGAATGAAATATGACTTCCATCAAATGGTACTGACTAAAACGATATCACTTACCTCCAAACAAATATGCCACTTGAAGAAAAAACTGAACTCGGCTTAATATTCCTTTAAAGGCTCGTTCTTGGTCAATTACAGACTGTAATTTGGGGCTGAATATTATAACATTTTTCTAACGTTTAATGAAACTATTTCATAGCCTGAAATCAACATAAATTTATTTAAATTATACAGCTTTTTTTCTTAGACAATTTCCTAACTATGATAATTATACGATAGCAAAGATTATTAATATCATTTTCTTTTTGGAGCATAAGCAAATCATTTATAAAAAAATGATTAAACGACAAATTTCTCAATGAAAATTATTTATTAGCTTATTTAAAAATTAAATATTGATGTAATAATTGAATTTTCATGCAAATTCTAGCAGAATATGAATGCAAGGATTGATTGTTGACTGGAGTTCCATGAGATGGGTGTTATTATCGTCAAGGACCACAAACAGGTTGCACATACATGCAAACGAATATATGACAGGCAGACATACATACATACATACACAGACACACACACACACATACACACCTTAGACGTTAGTTTGTTTCATAGAGAATTTCATTGCTAAAGTATGTATGAACAAAGCTCACAATCGACATTTCCATGAAAAGACAGACGGAAGAAGAAATGGACGAACAATAGTCTGAAAGGCGCGGATAAACATTATGGATGACTCAGCCATTCAAATAGCCGCGTGAACAAATGAATTACACACTGTTAACTGCATTTGAAAGTGGAAACGCGCAAATACATTCTTCAAAATTTACAAGCCATATGATGAAATGATGGAAAATGTTAAATTTAAGTTAATCCTTGTAAATGAATATAAAAATTTTACCATATTACTGCATGGAAGATGAGCAGAACCATAATTGAACATTTCTAATTTCACTTAATTTACAGCTACAAATTTTTTATTACTAATAGTAATTTGCATGTAGCAATTAGCATTAACAATACTGTATGAAGGATCAATGAAATATATTTTTAGATAAGTAAGAAGTAATGATGTCATTGGTTTGGTAGGTTGTTGAACATTCAGTATGGGATAATTCATCCATTAATGCACTGAAAACAACAACTGTGCTCGAGAAGAACTCTAAAGGTACATCGTTAATTGAATAAATAAATGAGTGTTGAATAATCGAAGCAAATTATTGAAATTGCATTGACAATCTCTCCCTCCCTTCCTTAATCATCTCTCTTCTGAAATTTATAGGCAAATTATAGAGGAATTTTACTGGGAATAACACGGTAGAGTGTAGCTTATAATGACAACAAGGTTGGAATTGATGAAATAATAGCAGACAAGTCGAATAAGTTTTACATATATTTTATGTTCATGTCCTCAAGAATAAAACTCAGCATTTCAAGAGCACGCATAATTTTAATTCGATTTAAAAGTTTTGATTTCTTGAATAATTAAACCGGACAGATTGTAAACGGTATATTACTAATCATCACGCGGAGAATTCTCCAAAAGGCAATGAGGCAGAGAGCTGAGAGAAGTAGGGGGTGTAAGAGATAGCGTGTATACAGATAGATGAAGAGGAAGAGATCAGGAGCGTTCTCTGCTGCTCAAAAGGTCATTCGAGAAAAGTTGCGAACGTCATCGTTCTCCCGTCCATATGTGAATCAATATGGCGCAGACACGGATAGATGGCTGTAGTTTTAGCAACAACGAGAATAGACGTTATGAAAAGAGAGCCATCCATTCATACCCAGTCTTTTACTTACTCTTCTGATCTTCCTGAGAACAATAGAAAGTGTTAACTTATATGGCTAAGGTAGAAGTTAGTATGCTGGTCAGTTAGAATGATAAAGTTTTGAGAGGTCAAGTAATTTGTCATACTCATTTTTAGTACTAATTATTTAAAAGATGTTGGTTGAAATAAGCACCACTGATCGGTTTTATCATTCCATTCAATTGTTTCATGTATTTCGACGAATATTACACGTAATAGGAATAATGTCAACTCAATCAACGGAGCAACGTGTCAGTCGATGGTACTTTGGTGGTACTGCATCTGCTGGTGCGGCAATGTGTACACACCCGCTTGATTTGCTTAAGGTTAGTGAAACATTACGATACTTATGAAAGTTATCATTATCAGCTCATTCATAACATCTTTCAGGTGCATTTGCAAACTCAACAACATGGTAGGGTCGGTATTTTTGAAATGACAATGAAAATTATTCGAAATGATGGCATTCGAGGTCTCTATAATGGTATTTCAGCTTCTCTATTAAGACAGGTAAAATATAAAACATCTTTTATTTGTATTAAAAGAGTTGGCTTCTTGCGTTGATGTTTTTGCATGAATATTAGATGATCATGTAATGTTATATAGAAAATGTCACCAGTTGTCATCATAGTTATGTAATTTCCAATAATTTGTATGGAAAATGGATAATGACCAAGGATTTTCCAGAGATTATTTAAAAGTAGTTTCGTTAGAGATATTATGTGTTTTAATAATCTTATCTTTGTGATAAAGTTGAGATGCTTCAATAGCAAGATGAATGTTCTGAATAGATTGCTGTCATTTTTCACGCTTTTCAGATGACATATTCTTTGACTCGTTTTGGTATGTATGAGCAGTTGAAGAAGCAATTTCCGGGAGGTCTGTTTCTTTGTTTATTCTTATCGATTTTCGATGCAAGTATTTCTAGTACTAGTTAGAAATAGTTTGTTTAAAGGATAAATTTGAATAAAATTGTTTAGAGCTGATTTTTATGCTGTCACATTTGTGTCGTTGCGAAATGTGAAAGTTATTCTGATGGTGATATGTAAAGATGTGTCAGTGTATTTTGGGATTTCTCCAGAACGGAAACTATAATCTGAATATTCATTAAAATGGTTGAATGATGATGAAATCACGTTGAATGTTTTTAGATATTTATTCCTTAAGTAATGTCGGAAAAAAATTTGTGGGATCCAATAATGTTTTATATGCATGATTCAAACATATCTTAGATTCAACTACCATTCCTTTCTACCAAAAAGCCGCAATGGCGGGAATAAGCGGAGCATGCGGCGGTTTTATTGGTACTCCTGGAGATATGATTAATGTGCGCATGCAAAATGATATGAAGGTGTACATTGTTCTTTTTTTTACATAGATTGGAATGCTATCCAATCTTTCACCTCCAATGCGAATTCTAAATATGTAAAAATTTCCAAACACAGAATTTTTTAAAGAAAAGAGACGGAAAAAAATACAAACAAGCTTTGATTTACTAATGACAAATCCTGATGCATTTCAATAAGCAATTTACTTCATATATGAACTTTTTTCCGCTTAGTTTCACCCCAAATCTGGATAGATTCTTATAAATACTATTTTAATATACATATGATTTTATTCTAAAATGAAACGCAGGAAAACTTAGGTTTTAGTGTTAGGTTGGACATTATGGAGTCTAGTTTAATATTGAGTATAGCATGCTAAAATCGTTTCAGGTTGTAAGATCAAGATATAGCATTAACTGGTTAGTTAGCCAGATATTATTTCAACATCTACTTCTAGTTATCGCCAGCAGAGCGGCGAAATTACAAGCATGCTATTGACGGGTTATTCCGAGTAATGCGTGAGGAAGGTGTCACTAAACTTTTTAATGGGGCTGCAATGGCAACATCTAGAGCTGTTTTCATGACCATTGGTCAGTTGTCGTTCTATGATCAAATCAAACAAATCGCTCTTGCATCGGGTTACTTCAAGGACACTCCAACAACTCACTTCGGGTCTTCATTCGCTGCGGTACATACTATTTTCTATTTTGAGTCACGTATAATCTTTTTCTTCCTTCATGCGCAGTTTTTTTTTGTAAAAAAAGGCAATGTTTAAGGCATCGATTGCGACAGTTTTAACTCAGCCACTGGATGTTATGAAGACCCGTATGATGAATGCAAAGCCGGGCCAGTTCAATGTAAATTTTTACTATTTAATGCTTAGGCTTACATCGCCAATCCTAACCGATTGTGTATGGAGTGGGTGAAGAGGTCTGATATGTTTTACATGTTGTGCATGGTTTAGACCAGTAATTTCGAAGTTCTGTCGAGTTTTAATTATTATTTTTAATATTGTTTTAATAGTTTGACGGCTCCTCTTCTGAAAAGTTAAATTGAAGATTGAGCGATGAATTTTTGCAGAGTATCTTGTCCTGCTTCTTATATACTGCGAAACTTGGACCAATTGGCTTCTTCAAGGTGAACAATTTTTTTTTGAGTAGTATTAATTCAACGTCTTATTTCATACTTAGGTGTTGAAATTTGTAAAGATTGGATAACTCAATACGAGATTATGTTACAGGGCTTTATACCAGCATGGGTTCGATTAGCGCCACAAACAATCCTTACCTTCATTTTCTTGGAACAACTTCGTTTGAATTTTGGCTATTTTCGAACTTCTCCCACGAAACAGTGACTGGAAATGCGAAAAATTTTACGAGTTCTGGTTTTATTGGTATTTCTACTTTTAATTTCAAAAAGGAACTGTAGAAACTTTAAATGGTGCTCTCGGATTCTACGATTGTTTGCATTTTTGTGTCTATTTAATCCAATTCACTTTTTCTGTTTCTCCCGCTAAGTATTTCATTTTCGCTAACTATAATGACTATGATACGCGATGTATTCCCGCGTAGTCTAGTTATATTATTGAGCCTTAAACAAGGGTTGTGAGGAACATATGATCTTCAGTACAGCGGGATAATACAGTCATAGGCATCGAATTGCTGTAAATTATGATGCAAATTAACTCATTTCTGTGTAGCGCAGTCTTTTACTTATCATCATAATAAAACGAAGATAATTAGAGAAAAGCAAAGGAAATACGATCTCATAACATGTACATACCACTGTACAAAAATCAACAGAAGTATATGACAAAGAGGTAACAAGAATAGAATAATCCTGTGAATGTGCAGATACATCACAAGAAAGAAAAACCCCTAGCCTAGAAATAAGCAAATTTTGGAAAACTGTTGAGACACATCCGTGAAATAAAAATAGTATAAACAGATGAAAATGAATGAACAGTCTGGGAAGTTGAATTGTTGCAAAAACATAATGAGCACTCTCGGTATATGAAAAATCCCAGACGCTTGTGATAACTTCTGGAAAATCGCACAAAATCAATCATTAGCTATTAGTATATGCAAAATCTATATTTCGTTCATCATAAAAATGTCAATCCAGCAATCAGAGACGTTTATGATGATTTAATCATATTTCTCTTTCGGCGTAAAATGAAATTTTGCTGAACTAAATTTCTTATTTCCCTGAGCGTTTTTTATATCAACGATGTAATATTCATCAAAACACGGCAGAAGGATTATAAATTTGAAATTACAATTGAACTATGATAATACGTTTGAAAAATGAAAATTTACTTATCCTACCAATGCAGTGAATTAGTATGTTTTCCAAGACAGATTTTTTTACAATTCTCGAGGATATATTCCATTCAAAAAAATTTATTTTGATCACTTTGAAGAGTTTTTTCTCCTTTCTCTCTTTTGATATTTAAATTCTTTGCTTTCCAAATAAACTTTTGAAAAAGTGAAAAAACTAAGCCATACCTTTCATGGAATGCAAAAGCTACAAAGGTATGACATTACAACAATAGCACACCATTTAAATATATCGCATCGAGAACTGGTCACGACTAAATTCACCAGATGAAGCAATTGATGATGCATAATCAGACGAACCTGCGGTGCCACCAGCGGCCCGTATCTCGGCAACTGATGGAGCTGTTGGTGTTGCTGCGGTAATTGTTGAATTGCGACGTTCTGGAGGTGGGGGAGGTTTACAGCTACCTAAAATTCTCGTACCTATTCAGATAATAAAATCGAAAATGAGAATATATATATATATATATATATACTCAGATTTTATTGCAAACTGCAAAAATTACCCGAACGAATGCGAATCGTTTGCTGTGTCACAGAAACAGGCGCTGCGTTACAATAGGAATCAAGTTCCGAGCCAAGTTTGTCGATCTGCTCAATAGTTTCAGCAATCAGTGAGGCATTCGCTTTTGCTTTATCATTTACTGGAAAAGCGAAAGAAACATTATCAGCACACAACCATGATATAAACCATTATTTAATAAAGAGAGGAATCTTATTAGTAATAAGATTCTTTCCATTATTTAAATGATGGTCATATTATGTTCGTCCACGTTTTCATACATTTTATCTTGAAATGGAAATATTTTGAATTCATGATTACAACGGCCTTCACAAAACAAATTTCACTAACACACTGAAATCCGTAAGACAAAAATAACTTGATAAATTTTAAATTTTGCAAATCAATAGCAGCAATATTCATGATTTTAAGAATTGTTTTTTTTACATAAATTTCCAATAAAAGAGAAGTAAAAATTAACCATCATCTCCTGTACAAGAGCCGTTACTCATATATCCATTACGAGTTATAGTAGATGTCTCATTTGGATGTCCTACATCTTCATATGCAAAACTTAATGGCCTTGCTGGTCGCTTCAAAACTGATTCTTCTGATACATCAGCTGATGAAGATGACAGAAGAGTTCCTTTATGATGAGGGGTCTGAAAAAAGCTATCAAACCATCAAAATTAGATTTGTCTATTTTAATGATAAAAATAGACATAAAAAATAATCGCAAAGAATAAAAAAAACTGAAAAGCAGCTGTATTTATTTGATTTTAGTGCTAATCTGTCCAACCGTATTTTGATATAACTTATACTAATAGCTCCAATAATCCTGCAACCAAGTATGGATTCTTTAAAAACGAAAATGTACAGAAATAATCACATGTGATTAAAAGAATTTATATTACCTTATCAACTCCAACAGATGATCCATGAAAATCTGGAACAGCAGAAATAGTGGAATTGGAGGAAGAAATTATTCTTTTTGGTAAAGGAGGTTTTTCCAGTACAAATTCTAATGGTTGTGATGCAGATGGAGGCGCATAGGTTCGAGAATTAAGTAAAGTACGTCGTGGCTGTTCTACTACCGATATTGTATGGGCCCGTATTGATGATGAACTTGCATTGGATGCAAAACCTGAAATTAAAAGAAAAAGTATATGGAATTTGCTTCTGAAAAGATAATTCACTTTAGGACATTTTGTATAAATTCCTAAAATTTACGAAATTTCAAACCATACAGTAGAGATTTCTCTCTAAGTATTTAAAAAAATTAAAGTGATTCGCAGCAATAATTTCATTAGTAATATATATTCGTTATATGTTACTATGTTCACTGTATGTTCCCAGAGTAACATATATTCGCATTTTTAGATATAAATTATAAAGAATCTGGCATCATTCTTTGAAATCATAAAATAAGAAACGGTGAGCAAATCAAATAGACTGATTAGCAACAATACAATTAATGCTTTTCAATTTGAGATCTAAAAAACCTTACCAACCACAGCAGTTGGCCATGTGCATGTGCTGGGAGTTGGCGATGGCGCTCTAATTGAGATGTCATCGTCATTATAGATGCAAAAGGATCGACTAGCATTATTGGACAAACAGCTACGCCACGAATTATCTGATCCTTGATGTATATCATTTAAAATAGTGTCAATGATTGTTGTGGACTTGCCAGACCGAACCGTAACATGCAAATGATCTGTTACTTGACGAAGATGACCGCTTTCGTCTAAAAGACCCAACTCAGTATTCTGAAATTAAAAAAAATCAGAATTGAGAGACAGTCTCACCTAAACATTTTATTAATACAAAAAAGCTCCCCAGTGTTTAGGAAGAAATTATGCAGAAAATTTAAAAAAAAAAAAGAATGATTTAGTTTAAAATGTCCAACTTGTTGTAAGCGCTGTAAGCATAATGACATTTCAAATAAAGGCGAACATTTGAAAGCATATCACCTTCATAAAAAAATAGTGGGACATGAAATAAACTTTAAAAAGCTGATGAGATCAATTAACTCATTTCAATAATATGGAAAGACTGGGTAAAAAACATAATTTGAATGATAAAGAGATGAGATCAAAGATGATTTGGTAAAGTACTTACAAGAACAGGAAGTAAAGCTGAGACAAAAAATGACATTTGATTTCGCTGTTCGGTCAGCAAGGCTTGAGAGATACGACGCTGCTCATTCACAGCACTTAAATCTATGCCACCTTTACGTGAACGAATCTGTAATGAAAGCAAAATATATATTATTCATTTCCAAAAAAAGATATGCATAGTAACAATCAGATGATTTTTGCACAGCAACTTAAAGAACATCAACACTGAAGAACATATCTCCTAAATCAACTGTTTTTTAAAGACGACAGAACTATTGGTTTACTTTGAAGAAAACAAATTATAGCGTGGCCCAAAATGAAACCTAGCAAAAGTTATCACAGCTATAAATATTCGTATCCTTTACTGTGTCAGTCAATTCGTTGACAAGACAGATGATGACTATATTTGCAGCACATTTCGTCTCTCCTTTCAAAAAACCCAAATTTATATTCTCTTGTTGAAAAAATACAACGGAAATTCTAGCATCTTTGGAGACATCAGTTTCGAGATTCGGACTGAATAAAAAAACAGAAATTGAATCAGTCCTATTCGTTAATCAGCCAGAATAATGCAGACGAATTAACTTTGAACAATTTAATCCGAAATTCCTAAGACAATTTGAAATCGGACCCCGTTGTTCTATTAAAATAAATATGAATTAACGGCTAATACAAGACATGATATCTACAATATACCTTACAACTCACCTTTCGACAAAATTTGTTCGCATGTCGATCCATTTCCATGGTTCGTTGTTTCCAATGCGTACCCTTGTTCTGCAAGGTCGTGGCCAATTCATCGGTTAGCGAGTCTACAAAAGCACGTAGGCGATTTTCGATGGATCGCTGTCGCATGCAAACACGTGTGAGACATGCACCAATATCTCGAGTGGCACCTAAAAACATTCCTCCAATTTCTTTGAATTTGATCGCCCAGTCTTCACTACTCAAATCATTAAGTTTGTATTGCATAAGTCATTCAATGCAGAACATTGAAATAATTATTCTAGACTAAATGGAAATTTGCAGAAACATAAGGCAAATATTTTCAAAAGAAATGTTCAAAAATAAAAATAAATAAGCAAAATGTATTATTATTATCACCAATGAATAAGTTTATATTATAGGATGATGGAAAAAATATAAAATAAACGATAAGGGAAAATAAATGGATTGCAAAACTACAGTGGTAAAAAATTAATGGTTTAGTTGAATACCTAAGTTATGGAGAATACCAGAAATCGATTACACTGGAAGGCTTACATATGAAAAATAATTTAATTTGCAGATAAATCAATAGCTCAGTTTATCTAATCTCCAAGAAATTGGTTTGATAACCAGAACTTTTTTCTTTAATTACTTAGAAACACGCAATAAACTATTTTCCAAACGTCTCTTCTTTCCCGAGGAATTCATTTCCGCGACTGAAGTTTCAAATCAGTATAAGTATTTTCAGCAAAATAGTGCATTAGTTTCGGTCTTAAATACGGTACTAATTTGAGTTACCGAAATCATAGAATACAGTACCAGTTTGCGTTCATTTGTAACTATAAAGGATACAATCTAAGAGTTGCATGAAAGTAAAAATAATTAAAAGTACCTTTTAAATTATTGGCAATATCACCAACAGTTTGTATAGCATCAATGAAAGCATTCATACAAACCAACGTCGATTTCATTTGTGACGCAAGTTTGAGGGCTTTTTGAGCGACATTTTCCCACGCTGGATATGTCAACTAAAAAAAGTATTGAACGAATGACCGAAACATCATTGGAAATTCAATATTTGATTAGAAAGAAACGTGGATTTAATGAGATAATACTTTAATATAGATAGTGCGCATTCTTACTGTTATAAATTTTCATTCTGATCCTAATTATGCAACATATTAACTTATCCTCATTCTTCATATTTAGAAGATAAATTTATATATCTATTTCTCGTCCTAATGAAAACTGAAAATAAAAATTTGTTGAAAATATTGAAAGATACCTTCATGTCATGTACAACACTTTGATACATGGAAACTAATGCATTGAATTCGGCATCACAATCCATCTTGCGTGCTCTTTATTGCCGTTAATTTATTTAGCTCTGGAACGGCTGATGACCCGAAATTGAAGGAAGAAACAGAAATCTGCGAAAGTGAGCGGCAAAATATGGAAGATTAGAAGATTCGATAAGAAACTTTACGACAACAGTAACTTTTAAAACGAACTATACAATATATGCATATCTTCCCGTCCTCATCGATGGCACCTGGAATGAAAGCTAACAATAATTTAGCATCACATTAAAAATTCATTAAATCAATTTTAGCGGCAATTCAATTTTAAATTAATTTTAGCGGCAATCCGTTAAATCGATTTTAGGGGTAATTCATTAAATCAAATTTTTGGAAAAAAACATGACATTATACAAATGTAATAAACATAACACAACATCAAACAAATCATAAAAAGTTAAAGTAATGGTTGGCAGTCTCAATGAGTGGGACGTAATGCCGGTGGAATATGATGATGAAAGCAGGCTATCAGTGGCTGTATTTATGGACTGTGGCTAGTCCACCTTTATAAAGTGACAGTGGAATTAAAGTCAACTCCCTAATTTGTATTTCATTTATTAAATACCTATTAAACAGTAAATTCCGAGGACAATACTCATCCATTGATAAATTTAGCAATTTTTTTGTTCAAACTAGAAATTAATGAAAACTCGGCGTAATCTTGAAGAATTCCTGAAAGTTCGGAAAGTTTGAAACATTTCCCGAGGAATTACATATTGTTACTTTTATTTCAAAATGGACGGAATAAAGATTGAAATTGGCGGAATGAAATGTGAGGATTTCTGTCACAAGAGGAAATCTTTTTGAACGGCGATGAAAAAGAGGAATGGAAAAATGACAGGGAGAGGGAAAGGGAAGGAGAGAGAGGGAGAGGGAGAGAGAGCGAGAAAGAGAGGGAGGGAAGGAGAGTAAGAGGAAGAAAGAGGGAGAGAGATAGAGAGGGAAAGGGAGAGAGAGGGAGAGGGAGGAAAAGAGAGGGAAGGGGAGGAAGAGAGAGGGAGAGAGGGAGAGAGGGGGAGAGAGGGGGAGAGAGGAAGGGAGAGATGTATATCCTAATTTCTCTTTTCCTCTTTTCTCTTCACTAATTTTTTTCTTCAACTCATTTACAGCATTGATTTTGTAACACTTCCTTCCGGTATGTATTAAGAGTATCAAATAGCATTTCTGCTCCTTTTAATATATTATCGAAATTTGATCTTCAAATTCGAGTCGAAAAATTTCAAATTTTTATAAAAAAACTAACATATAAGATAAGGTATAAATTAGCTTTATTGATTATCAGCAGGAAATGAACTGAACCGCTTTCAAAATAGATTCAAATTTTCTCAGTAATAACAATGCTATGCCTCTAATGAATTAGGCTATTTTCTTGTAAATCTTTAAATCGATCCCAAACTGCTGACCTGCTGACTTATACCATTGCATACAAGACATAAACTACCAAAATCGAAGTGTGGGTCAACCATACATACATATAAGTTTGCGTGCTTATGTGTATGTTTGTCTGTGTCTATGTTGTACAGATCTGTGAAGGGATGAAGAGATGCATGGAAGTAAATTTCCCTGCAACCAAACAAGTTTTTTAAATAGAAGGCGCAATTCTACATTTTCTCAAAGAGCTGATAATAAATTACACTTCTAAATTACGGCAAAGTGTTCATTCTTTGATTGGTGCGCCTGCGTGAAATAATTGTTGGGAAGGACAGTTTAGAGGGTCAAACATCGGTCAATGTATGCATTCCGAGAAATCTCGACCCCAAATCACTCATCATCCTGTGCGGCATACAACTAAAACATATCTCATATGAATGCATGCATTTTTCTCCATCTCCCGCAGGCGCGTATAACTATCTAATCTGAGAAATCTCGGGATAATAACACAGTGAACCGTTTGCAGAGAAATAAAACGGTCAATTATTTATTTATGTGGTGATGCCAATTATGAAATTATAATCTCTGCGAAATCTAACGCAAAAAATTCCATTAAGTTAAATGATCTGAATCAATTACGGCAACGATAATGATTACAGAGGGGAAGGTGTATAAGTTACCACCATGACTAGCAATTTCCAGAAGTCCTAAGCAAAACTTCTCTCCGTAAATTAAAAAAAGAGAAATCGCAATTAATTATTTGTAAAATTCTAAAAATATGTATAGGGTAAAGGTCGATAGAGTTGAACGGTGGGGAAACAAAAATGTGTGTTATGTTATGTTAATGTGAGAAACAACATATAAGTGTTAACACTTTTAAATTCAAAATTTATTGTCATTGTCAAATTTCATTGAAGCTGTTGGTGAAAGTGCAAAAAACAATCGAATAAACGAATATTAGCATATCGATAGAACAACTGATAAGAAAAAGTGCTTAAATTATAGAATCGGTCGAGTCTGGAATTAATCCCGAATATCTACCGCGGTATATTATACGGGAATATTATTTAAATATATCGTTACACAATGAGTTATAGTTGCAATTTTGAAAGCAACACATAATGGCACTTTGATAAATTTCACATTTCACAGAGAAAACGGTCACTTGGAGAAGTGGCGGGGGGAAGGGCGGGAAGTGTTATGCACGGCCGGGATCGGAGGGCAGCGGGGAGGGGAGGCATAATCATGAAAAAAGAGGTCAAAATTTAGAGGAAAAACAGCAGCAACAGCAACAAGAGCAGATGAAGCGAGCCAAGGAGAAAGGAAGGAAAGAAGACGGAAGCCAATGGCCTCGCTTCCACCCTCTCCGCAAGCCCTGATTGATACCCGTGGTGCATGCCAACGTGAAAGCACTCTCAACCGAGCGGTCTGTCTGCACGCACACACACACACATTGTTAAAGAGAGCTTAAAAGCATATTGAATGGTTTGCACAGGCAGGCTTTCATCATCCCTGCAGGAAATGCACATATAATGAGGAAGGCAATGTCCTCTGCCCCTTTCTCCAGTCGTTTTGGTCAAGAATCTGTCCGGATCGATGATGACATTAATAGAAGGACTGAATTGATGATATATCACCCATTTCGATCTGATCCGATTCCATCCGATCCGATGCCTCCTACCTTTGATCATTTATCAAATGAGCGCCGTTCTTTTGATCATATTTCACTGTGTGTCACCAACAGAGGGTCATATATGTCACAACAGGATCGCAGATATTCCTATGACTAGAACTAATCGAATAGGATAATGTATTATGCTAGTGACATCTTGCATACATAATTAACAATTGCGCTTCACAGTAAAAAGTTAATGGTAGTAATTACCAAAATGATATGCAGAATCGATCACTGAACCAAAAGGAAGAATCAAAATCAAAATAAAAAAAAATTATCGAACAAATAAAACAATAAACGGAGATGAAGAAAGTTGAAGTTGCTGCTTCCTTCCACTTCTTAGCCTCGTTGAAAACGCCAATGGCTATCAGTTCCATTGTTTACAACTTTTCTGTTTCATAAAGCATCGCAGCACATTCACCCCTCGTAATCAATTCATTCGATTCCTATCACTGCCACCTTTATCTTTCCAATCATTCAAATTTTTAGCTTTCCTCCTCAACACTTCCTTTTCATAAATGTGGCACAATGGTAAAGTATGATAACGATAAATCAATCGAGTGTTTGAATAATCTCTCATTATACTATTATCATTTTGCTTATAATCTGTTTTGATAGCATAGGATGAGAAAGAATTGACTGAGCCAAATCTCTTCTCGCATTGTTTCGCTTTACAGTTTTATCTTTTAAATACTAAATTTTTTTTTCTATCAGTTTACATCATTACTTTTTCAAATTCTGATAATCACATTACAAATTTACTTCAACTTATGCAGATATGCATGAAAAGTTAATAATGTAAAGAGCAAAGATGGGGACAGAGGTGAGTTTATGGTTAAAACTTCATCGTCCTTTCTGTCAAACTTGACTTAGCTAATACCGTAAGCCACGGTATTGAGTTATTCTTTTATTGCAAGCTTACAAGAAGGAAAAAAAGTTTCGTTTATTTCAGATTCATAACATAGCAAACATCTTAATTGTGAATGACATATAAATGAACCAACACTTCGCAATATTGCCGTTCAATTTTTCGGACATTTGAGCCGTATTCCATTTAGCTTGAACGATGAGATATTGAAATAGTAAAGTCTGAAGGCTAACAATCGACTTTCTAATGTATCATTTTTATCATAAAACTTAATTAGTGCTACCAAAGAAAATAATAATTAAAAATTCATCAAGCCAAAGCTCATAATCTCAGTGCTTCGATCTTTTCTGCAACACAGAAATCATTTTATTATCACAGTCATCATTGCTATCGTTACCTCATTATCACCAATCTCTCATGATGACAGTTCTGTTAAATTCTGTTGAAGTTATCTGAATTGTGTTTCAATTATCATTATGTATAACTATCATTACCTATAACATATTTATTTATTATCAATTATCGCTGATGATAATTGTCATGATATATGGTTTTATCTACCATTTTTCATAACAATTATCATCAATAATAGGTGTAAAAGATTCAAAGTCTCAAAGATGGTATTATTGATTTTCAAGCAATTTCAACGATACAAAATCTTTCGTGATGAAGAATTCTGTTGAAATGTCTGAAAGGGAATGAAATGAAGGTATAATTGCGTTTCATTTGTCAATCAATCAATGACACCATTAAGGGATGAATGAGATGAAACGAAGAGCGAGGCGGAATAGTCGATGAAGGAAGGCCTTTATATTTGTCATTTTGAGAATACTTGCAACTTTCAAGTTTTAAATAGAATTGTATAGCATCTTAAAAGAAAATGGAAATTGACATTTGTAAATTTATTATGTAATTC